GAGTGAAAGCATTTGGACGACTTTTCTTCCATTGTCTTGATCACTATCAGGCAATCGCTTCTTTGTTTTCATGCTTTCAATCAATTTCCACTGTCAACCTCTGTTCATCGTGAGAACTTTTACACTTTGTATTTGAACACGCAAAAAAAAATTTAAAACAAAAGTTAAAAATTGTAGAGCCACTCCTGTCCGTGTTGAGTCTGTGTGTTTGATGTGCCTTTAAGAGGCGGGGCCTGGTGGTGTGTGTGGTGTCGGCAAATTTTTTTTGGGGGGTGGGGGGGCAGGAATATGATTCTGAAATGTAAGTATGCTCCAAATTACAGATTTCAATGACAGCTCAGAGTTCAGCAACAGATAAAGTTCAACAACAACAAAAAATCTTCAATACTGTGTCGCGGTGTTGCGATTGATAAACTTCGATTTAGCAAAGGAAGACATCATCCTCTCAAATTTGCCCAACTCCTCCCCAGACATGCTTTCATTTGATGACATGGTCGTCTGTTATGAGTGTAAAAGCCAAGCGTTTGTTTACATCCGTTTACAAGCCAGATGAGATGACGCCAAGTTTTGTCAGCCAAAGTCTGCATTGGAGCCCCTCATCGCGAAACGTCTCCAAAGTGCCGCTCTCTTGCTTTTTTTTTTTTTTCTTGATGCCAAAGCACTGACCTCAGATTGCGGCGGCGGCAAAACTTGCGCCGTCCCACGCGGCGTTGAGGTTTTCACTGTGTTCAAGTAGTCATTTTTGTTCAAATTGGGGCAGATAGGATTTGGGCTGATCAGACTCATGTAATCAAAAAAATGGCAGGCGGTAAGAAATACACAGCGGATTGCGGTGAAGGGTTGACGTTGGGCCGCGGCTGCCTCCAAACTGCTGAATAGTGAGTAATGTGGAGACAGACTGTTCAATTCAATAAATATCAACTGCCTCAACTTGGAGGAATATCGACAAAACGAATATTGACACACCTTAACCCTTTCATGCACCCTGTAACCTGATAACATGATAAGCCGTCCACTGTAGTAACCGCTGTCCCTGAAAGGGTTAAGTGATGAATTAACTAATCACTGATACGACACCCATTAGTTGCCTCTAAAGCAGAGTACACATATACAGATAATCGGGATGTATTTAAGAAATTTCCGCCTTTATTTCTCCTAGTTGGTATGACAAGAGATACCTAGTTTGGTGTTGGAGACTCGCGATTGTCAGTGGAGATCTCGTTGTGTATGGTGTACTTTGTTGGTCATCTAAAGCAGTGTTTTTCAAACTTTTTTGAGCCAAGGCACACTTCTTTCATTGTAAAAATCTTGCGGCACACCACTAGCTGAAAATGTGAAAAAAAAAAAGCGCTTATTTGAACATTTAACGTGTTATATTGTTACTATAACCGTTTTTAACATTGAAGAATGACGTTATAACAGCTTGAATTGGAATCAAATGAGCACAAAGAAAAAAGTATTTTATAATCTTTGATATTTATCACTGTCGTCCTGCATTCATGCGGCACAAATTCGCTTGTCTCTAATGGTCGAAACACAAGGCAATTGGCTAGCTGTTGCTGCTCCCTAGTGGTATGGGAGGGTACTACATGATTACTTTCTGGGTGATAGACCGCACAGGCATACAAATTGGATATTTTCCCTCGGCACACCTGGCAATGTACCACGGCAAGGTGTTTGAAAAACACTGATCTAAAGTACACAACTTACTTTGGGGGCAATCAGAACACACCTGGCCATTCGTGATCGTGGTTTGTGGGCTCACTCACATGTTGAAAATCAACGTGAAACATGTTTTCAGAGGCAGGGATGTCAGTGGGCCCCGATGAGACAAATGGACCCAAGACTGTACTATTACTCCTTTATGGCAAAGCTGCTTTGTTTGTAGGTCCATTTCCAGTGCCCATCGCTGCTTCCTTTTGTATCTCTCATCTGCCTTTTGGCCGAACAGGCGTGGCCCATGTCACGCTAATGAGAGTCGACAAGGATAATGGTCAAGACTCGGTCTGTGGTTGACTCCCCCACCCTCCCTGGTGTGCTCCATCACTCCGTCATCCCAGCACTTAATCATCTGCTTTCATCACTCCCCCCTGTTGGACCACCTCTTCCACACATTTGAATCTGTAATAGTCTCGGGCTTTTGTCCATCCATCTAAGTATCTCAACGCCTGCTGCTCTAGAAAGGCTAATGTCCCTGTAACTATTCTCTCGGCGGATATAAAGCAACTGACTAAAGTCTTGGGCCCCACTTGCTTTACTGCCGGCAGCTACAATGTGTGTCAGAAAGGTCCCAGAATTGAGTCACCTTGGTGACTCTCTTGAGCTTAGGAAAGAAGAAAAAAATATTGTATAGAGCCATGTCGGTTCTTCTTAGCTAGGAACTGTCGAAAACAAACGCCGCAGGATCTCCTTGTTGGCTGATCATCTTGGCCCACAATGAAGAGAAGACTTGGAAGTTTTCTGTTTGAAATATCATTAGTGACACCAGTCCTGTCACATCTTGTGGAATAAAACAAGACGACCTGACTCAATGAAGATTTTCAAGATTCAGTTGCATATTTTGGTCGGGCGTGTCCAAGAAAATTGCATGTTGAATTCATTGAAGGCCATGAACTGTCAAAAGTCATGCATGTAAATGTTCTTGTTTGTCTGAATGTGACCTCCGTTTGACCGGCGCTCAATCCAGGGTGTAATGTGCTTCTCACTCAAAGCTAGCTGGGATAGGCTCCGGTTCACCCTGCTACCCGAATGAAGATAAGCAGTCCAGAAGACGCGTGCCTAAGAAGAAAATTTTAATTGCTCGGATTTTGCTGCGACCTGCTGTGAAAACGGCCTTCACATTCACTGTGTTACAATTAACGACGTCTATGGGACCCTACACCAGTAAGAACTATTCCTGTACATCTGGTATATTGTTTTTTCAATGAGTTTGCCGATAGCCAAAAATGTTGGAACTGTATTTTACCAAAATGATTTAATGCCTTTATGCTTGTTGCACAAACTCAGCGGTTATAGGCTCCAACCCCCTGCTGTGGCCTTGAAAAGGATAAGCTTAAGGAAAGTGGATGGATAATTTAAGCTTGTACTGCCAAAAAAAAAACAAAAAAAAACGTAGACACCAATGTCTTTGAGCAATAAATCCTCATCCCATTAATGTAAGGTGACTGCACTTTTATGTCTATAAAAGTAAATGTTTCATAAAACTCAGTGCAACGAGTGCACCACACACATTTATGCTCATCACGCATTCTACGAAGTGGGAAAAGTTTGTCCTCCAGTGAAAGTACTGTATTGGTTTTGATAAGCCGACACCACACATATGTAAGTTTGAGCAGTAAAACGATCAACAAGGAACAATTTGAATGTTTTATGAGGCCATACGGTGAAAAGGCCTTGAGTGAAAAAATGCGCGGTCGGTCAACACGGTTTGGTTTGAACCAAGCATTTTTGCTAAGGTTAAGGTACAATCGTGGTTTGTGCAAGAGAAGCAAAACATTCCCGACAGCCTCCGTTGGTTTCCAAAAAGTGTCCGATTATATAAAAGTATGACTAGACGGCTCACTTGATTTTTATTCGGTGCTTGGTTTCACGTCTTTGTTTTGAATAAGGCTACATGATTAGTCGCGTTCAAAATCAATTGTTGACATCCCTCTGGCTAATTTTATAGTCTATGCCTGCTAATCATTGGGAAAAGACAGTCTCAATTTGACATTCTCAACTTGAACTTGGCATGGGGAAGAACTAAAACCAAAGGCTGCTGATGTTTTTTAAGAGGGACACGCTCTAAATGTGCGTATTTTCATCTTTGGTCCATCACCTCCTCTCCCCTTGAAGTAGGTTGGACTTCTCCAAAACTATTTCAGTCGTTTTTTTTCGCCCCCTCTTTTTTTTTTTTGTACTGTTGATGTTCCAGTCAATTTAGTAAGTGTAGAAGTGTTATCTTGGATTATCATCTCGCTTCCTGCAAATTACGATGGAATGTCAAATTCTATGAAAATGTCAATGTATCTTTTTGTACAATATCCAAAAGGCTTAAGGGTGGCTAACACACTTGAATGGAGTCTCTTGTGCGGACCGTTTGAAGTCTCACCTCCAAAGAATTTTGATACCTTTCTCTTGGGCCTATGACCGTCTCGTCGGGATTACGGTGGAATTTTGGGGAGTTGGTGTTTGTTTATAAAGGGAAGCACTCCGATACGGATCTGTGAGTCTGTATGTGCACTGGGAAGAATCAGTCTGTGGATTAGCGTGCGCGGCTGATTCAGCAGCTACTGAAAAGTCCACAAAGTCAAAGCCCAATTGAAATTGTAACCTTGACTATATGAGTTATTTATGACTCTTTGGTATCTTACGGCCGTTTTAAAGCGGTCTATGCTGAAAATAACTGCATGAATCATAACGGTAAATGTTAAATATACAATGAAATCTAAATCTGAACTCTAGATGATGTTAGTCTGGAGTAAATATGAGTGATTCATTTCTACCATGATAGTGTGCAGTTAGCTGGTTAGCTTGCTTTGCCAGCACCCAAAAATTAATCTTCCCTGGATGCCACAAAATAGCTTGGTGTTCTTATTTAAACAACCAAGCGAGTAAGAGGCGCCTCGGTTGAGCCCACCATGAACGTGCCGGCTGAGAGGCTCTTGAGATGTTAGCTCGCAAGCTAGCTGTTGGCTAGCACGTTTCATTGCAGCGTAGAAAGAAGGATAAATCCCAGAATTTTTTTTTCCATGGCTTAAACGTGTAGGTATACCAAGGTTTCTTGACAAAATAGCATTCATGTTTCGTTGGGGTGCGGTTCGACGCATTCAGTGTTCTAGTGGGGGAAAAAATGGCTAGGAAGCCTCACTTGACATACTCTGCGATTTTTCAAATTTAGTTATATTTATTTATTTGCATTTAAATTTGGCAGGATTGCTACAATAGTTTCCTCCATGGTATGTCAAAATTACAAGACATTTATTTCAACTTTACAGGGACTACCTTGGAGTGCGCCCTACCTGTACACTGTCGTGGGAGGATAGCTTGCCATGTCATAGATGAGTCGAATGTGACCTTGATACAGTTCCACAGCCAAGGGGTCGTGGTCCTCCTTATAAAACAAAATACCATTGTCTTTGTCGGTGGCCACCTGAGGGGGAGACACACAACACGATTTACACATCATTCCTGTACCTCATGCATTATTCTGACAGCGCATCGCACAAAATCTGCCATGTGTGACAGGACAAACCGCTCGATAATGTACGGCCACTGAGATAATTTGGGTCAATAATGGTGCACAAATAGAATAAAACACTCCAAATTACACAGCTGCCTAGCAGAATGAAAAGCCCAGAAAACCTCCCTCATGGCGATAACAAGGGTGTCTCTTATCTCTGGACATGCTTTGGAGAGAATTTAGGTGGAAATTGTAAGAAAGTTACCCCTTTGCAAAAATAATTGGGAGTTATACTTACTGCATGTTGCAAGTTTTTTTTTTTGGGGGGGGGGTGGAAAAGTGGTAACATAGGTTCTGGCAAACAAAGCAAGAGTTTCTCACCACGTTTCTTAACTCCGGAAGTTAAAATGAAGGAACTGGAATTGGTTGTATATTTTGTACATTCCCCAAAACATAAACCGAAAACATTTCATTTTTGGCAATATTCTATCCCCGTGAACAAGTTATGCTAGCAATGTATGTTGCTACCTCACCATCCCAGCATGCACGCGAGTTTGAGCAGTTAGAAAATAACCACGGTAATATGCGCATTCATACACAAGCTGCCGATGGCAACAACTCACGTTGTCACTCAACGCTCAGCCTGCATTGACAGCCCACCATCTCTAAACTCTCATTGGTTGAAATCCACATCACTCCCCAGGCAAGGATGGGGGCCTTTTGAAGCCATACACTCTCAAAGTCATAGACACTACAGTTGAACATGAGTCAGGATTCCCCAATTGGAGTAACCTAATACTTGCACCTTGCATGCATGTGTTATTTTGCTTAGTAAAGCAAAGCTGAATAATCGATGGAACAATGTATAAAATACTTGATTCTAAGAATGGTCGATAGCTGCTGCAGCCCTCCTATCCAGCCACGGCCCGTCATGGTCGCGCTACATTGTCAGAAAACGTAACAAGACTTGAAGACAGACATTAAAAAAAATGAAATAAAAAGACCCAAAAATCAATCGTAACACAAAGTTTCGGACAAATGGGGCTGCAATGGCCGCCAGGAACATCGTGCTGATGCAGCCTAACAGGTGGCCATATGGCTGCGGGAGGCCAAACACTTAACACTGTAGCTTTACCATGGAGCTCGGCCAAGGCCACAGCTGCTAACAAGATTCTGGAAAGAAGACAGAGACAGAGAGATAGAGAGACAGAGAGATAGAGGGAAAGAGAGAGAGAGAGAGAGAGAGAGAGAGAGAGAGAGAGAGAGAGAGAGAGAGAGAGAGAGAGAGATATGAACAACGGTTGGATGATAACGAGAAAAAGAGTGGGAGAACGTGTTAAAAAGGGAACAAGTAGAGAGTGATTTATGAAGAGCTGTCAATGCGCTCCCACCCTCACTTCCCCCTTTCCTCTTACAGTGGAGGACTTTTGAGGCAGATTTAACAGCTTTGGCATTGAAAAGTGAAAAGCTGCTGGCGGGAAGGTGGAAGCACACGTTCGCGCAGGTGTTAAACATAAGTGTTCTACTTTTGTGCTTTCTGTCAGTCTCGCTGCATGATCTCGTGCCTTCAAAAAAGGCAGCAGGAAAATATGCCTCAATTGGGATTCGTCTTTTCGATGTCCAGAACAGTCCACAATGGAAATTGTACTGTAAAGTGTATGTATGAGTGTGCGTGCGTCAGAGGGAGAGAGAGCACAGCATGTCTTGGATGCAGCATGTTGCAGATGTAGATTCAATTTGAGAGTTTCAAAGCTACATTTGATGTTTTACACGTTGCACATCCGAACCATATTCCTGTACAGGTATATCTGTTTCTCACGCACAACAGTGATATTCAAAGTGACCTGCTGTGATTTAATCATCCTCACGATTACGTTGATAGAAAGTGAAATTATAAAGGCCAGTATTTTAAAACGTAAAAGTTTATCGAAATTTGAACCAGAACATAACATGACGCGTAATCAATGCATTTTGTCTTCATAAAAATGACATCTGCCGCTGCAGATTAATAAAAAATATTTTAAATGAACCAATATGATTTTAATTTTTAAAATAGAATAAAAAAACAATCATAATTTTAAAATACATTAGTTGAAATTATTACATAATGTGTTATTCATGTTTTTTTTTTTTAATTTCTCAAATTGAAAAAGCAAACATGAATTCAACACCAATTAATACTATAGTATGCATTTTGTAATTTTTTTTTTAACTTTTAAATTTTAACCCGCAGAACGATCAATTACCACATTAAAAATAGTAGGTTATCATACAAAATACAAGTACCTGGAAATAAAAAAATGCAAAAATACCAAAGCAAAACAGTATTTTAAATAATTGGATGACACATAATAGGTACACATGTATTCATGTTTTTCAAAATGACTGAAAAAAATTTTTTACAAAACCCCCCTTGAGTTGTTCAAGTTTGACTATGACTACCCAAACACATTCTTTTTTCCAAGAAAAATGTTGCTCACTTTTGGGTAAATAAACATTCATTTTGAGAAATATAACAAAATAATGAATAATGAAAAATAATGAACTAAAAATAAACAACAGTGCTCAGAATAATTAAAAATAACCCCATAAAAAAAACCAACAAAAAAAAAAAAAAACAAAACAAAAAAAAAAAAAAAACATACAAGCATACCTGGAATGAAATGTGAACATTGGGGCGTAACTTTGCGCCCGGGAGCTCCACGTACGCCTCTCGCCCCAGGAAGTGAACGGTGGCCATTTTATCACATTTGTTGCCGTAGAAGCCGGGCATGCAGCGGCAGACAGGTTCGCCAGCCACCAGCAGGCATTGGGCACTGTTTTGGCACTCGCTCTGGTCACACGGGCTGGTCTGCAGCAAAATCATGGGCGGGGGATTCTCGCAGAACAAGCCACTGGAAGGACAAGGACGTCGTCAAAGGGATGTTTTGGAAATTATACTTTGACATCTTCAGAATATGACCCATGATTTAATTCATTGCAGCACCTGCTGGTGAGTACCACTTGGCCACAGTAAGGCAAGCATAACACAGTCGTGCAAACCCAAACAAAGCGTTTCACAACTACGGTGATTGACTCAGTGAGCCGCAGTAACATTATCTGTTCTTTGCAGAGGATAAACAATATATGCTTGTGAGTATTGTAATATTGACATCTACATGTGCTGTTGCATGATTTGTGTTCAGATATCAGTTGCTTGAAGCATTCTAACACCACCACATAGATGCTCGCCCGTCTATGGTTTTTTGCATTGTGTGTTCGCATTAGGCTAGCTTTCTTGAAGGCAAAGTTATGCGGTTGTTTAATAACACCCACAAACTTCAACAGGGGGTGGTATTAAACAGCTTGAAGTCTCTTTTGTTTTTGTTTTAAGAATTGGTCACTATCTGCCAAACTGCTCCTTGCTGGCGAGTTTATTAGTTCACTACCGTCATACTCAAAGGAATGTAATACAATGTTTAATAAATAGCATACCCAAGAGTATAAATAACCTAATACAAGACTTAAATATGACTAAGGCAAGATATAAATTCAAAACAGAATTCATATGAAATTTGTTTTTTGGAGCTAGACTGATGGTGCATTGAGATCTCCCCCATTCATACCACAACACTAAAAAAACAAAATATTCCTGATGTATTTCCCCCTATCTTCCTCGACAAGTTTCCTCTTTTAAACATCACCGAATTTTCACAAGACTGCTCTTGCCTCTGCGTAAATATACCGCATCTGTCACAAGCACACCGACATCGTTTAAAGGCGGTCAAGTGGCTCCATGGCCATCTGTGTCTCCTCCAGGTGTGTGTGTGTGTGTGTGTGTGTGTAGCGATCACATCTCTTACCTGAAGCCCTCCTTGCACACACACGTGTAGCCGTTGACAGCATCCACGCACTCAGCGCCATGTTGACACTTATTCTCCAGACAGTCGTTGTAGTCTTGCTCACAAAAATGGCCCACGTAGCCTGGCAAACACTCACACCTGCAGAAATGTGGCCGCCATTATTATTGGATGCGATCTAAAGAGCCGCAAATGTCAAAATGTCGGAACAGTTTAACCTCAAATGGACTCAAGTGTGGAATGTGGGCCTGTTCTGTTAAACACGAAACTTTGACTGTATTTTGTCGTCGGAATGGCAAGAGATGAAGCCACAGGTTAATTTTGCCATCTCGTGGATGAGCATTTAATTGTTGTACCTGTCATTGTACATCGCAGGCATAGACAGATGAACAAAGATTCAATATTTGTATTACAGTGAAGGAGGGACCAACCGATTATTGGATGGGCTAATTATCGGCGCCAACATTCAACATTTTGAAGCATATCTCCTTCGGCAGTTTTTTGAGGCCGATCAGAGACCAATTTAAAACTGGAGCACTGGCCTCCACATTTGGCTCATATATGAAAATAATACTAACAATAATAATACTATTATGCAGTACACCCAGGTTTAAGTGTCTGTAAGTCTGACCATCCGTCCATCATCCAATTTGACATTAAGACTCACAGATAAAAGCAAGTGGCTTGTCGTGTTACGTGTGGAATACTTCTCAACAGGAATTCAAATGACAAATTTACTTTAGAAGCTGGAAAATTGGCCAACAAGGGACGGAAAGTGCACTGTTGTATAATACCTGTATTTGATTTGTGGATGTGTTTTAAAAATGTTTTTAAAGTAATATTTTCGTTGAGTTTCTACGACTCAATTCCTACCGTGAAAATACCGTTATTTTTAAAACCTTGCACACACAAAAAAATACTCAATGAAAACTAAACTAATGCAAAAACAAATGAAATGAAAATGAATGAAAACAACACTGAAAATGTCACTATTAATTGTTACGGGAAAGTGAATCTCAAAGGTGCTGAAGGTCATCCATCAAGAAATACTTCCATTGTCAATCTGATGAGGTGGTGATTTGTTAGGATCGTCACCTTCCTTTAATACTGATGATTGTTTTTTTCAGTTTTCCAGAAAACATGGAAAACCAAATAGATTATTTTAGATTTATTAATACTTCCATTTCATGGGTACAGTAGAATGATGTGTTCAACCAAGGACGTAGGCAATTTTACGAGAGTTGGCCAGATCCAGGTGTTAAAGGCAAAGCAATTATTTATTTTTGTCAAAATAGGACTCAGGGCATGATTTCAAGAGGGTGTCCATACAGACCTTTTGCATATTTCCCATTCCCACATATCCCAGGAACGCTTTAAGGGAGGGAACCGATCAGATAAGATGATCAAAGATGCCTTCCCATTTTTTTTTTCCACGGCTTTCTGATTCACCCTACAGACCATTTTTTTTTCCTACACCCTCCGTCACCCACCTGTAACTGCGACCGACGTGGACACACTTGGAATCGTGCTCACAGGGGTCGAAACCAGGAAGACAGGGATCCAGCACCTCTTCGCAAAGGTCACCTGGAGACAGCGGGAGGGAGAAATATGATCTCCTATTCGTGTAGATGGACTAAAATATGGCATAGACAAACATTTGCGATGCGATGTGAGGGATTAAGGCAGATCCGTCTCAGCTCTACAACATCTGTTAACATAAAAGCAGAGCATAAATCAAAGAGGAGACATAAAGAGACAGAAACGGGGTGGGGCAGGGGAGGTCTAATTTATGGGCCACTATCTCGTTCCGACGGCATTAAAACTCTCGTCTTCATTCTGTGCCTGTTTTAATCTAATCCTGACCCCCCCCCCAACACCACAGGGAACTGCTCAAAAATGAAATTGCAGGAAGTTGAAGGATAACACACACACACACACACACACACACACACACACACACACACACACCACCATGTCTGTCTCCACCAGCCTTTTCCCAAGACCTTTATAGCCTCGCTGGTAAATCACATTCTGGAATCAGCTGGAAACAACAGGAAAAAAAATATTAACATGAATCTGTGTTTGGCTGCTATACAAAGTTAAAAATGTGTATGGATCCCGGCATCTTGACAAAATAAGTAACTGTGGAGCAAAGTAACACAGAGCAAAAAGCAAAGGAAAATGTTCATCTTTTCATACATAATTCATATTTAGTGCTTTGCTTTCCTGAGCAGACTGCTTTCATTTCCTTTAGTCACCAAAAATTCACACACTAAGTCAATGTAGCCACTAAATGAGATCATAAAAATGATTTTGTTCTCCAGATGAGATGAAATGTGCGTGAAGTACATCATGATGATGAATTAAAGATAAAAATACGTCCCTATTTCTTATGAAAGGCTGTGAAGCATATTATTTTATCAGAACGTGAGAGGAAAACTACACCAGGACCAAAATCAACAGGAAGTTCAACTTGGATCTTCACAGTCCCAGTGGGATCTTCTGTCTAAGTATCATGGCCCCCCTGACCTTTCCGTAAAGCCCTCACTTTCATCTGTCTACCTCACAAACTACACGCTGATCTTCATGTGTTTGACATCTCTGGAGGGGCTTACCTCTCGTTGACCATGTGACCTTTTCCAACCTCACACTAAAAGACTGACATTTGTTTTGTTGAGCATGTCTGCTTTACGGGAGAGAGGGAAGATTATTTTCTACTTGAGAAAATTAAAGAATGAGAGGCTAAAGCAGGAAACCAGTTTGCATGGCTTTCTGATAAAACTAGCAACAGAACTGTGTCATAAACGAGGACTCCTTGTTGAACGATGTTGGCGATGTTCCACAAGGGTCTTTATTAGGTCCAGAGATTTTTACAGAATAATCTACTTGAAAATTTCCTGCTATTACAGTAGTAGACGAGTGGTGGTCTACAAGTCTCAATGCCAGGGCCACTCCAGTAGTAAAGCTTGATAAGACAGATACAGGAGGTCTTTGGTTTACGTCGAACCAACTGTATAAGGTGTGAGGTTACGACCGGCCTGCAAACAACTAGTTTCCTGTAACTTTGACTTTACAGTGAACCTCTGCCGTTTCACTATTTACAAATTCCAGCCCCTCCTCAGCTATTTGCTGAAATACCGATTAATGTTTTACAACAGTGACGCTGGAACGGATCATTTCTATTTCTATTATGTCCTATGGAGAAAATGGTTTCACAATCAACCATCGTCATTGCAAGCATTGCATTCAAGGTTCCACTGTAATGTAAAAGCTGCATTGGCTGGGCTGGTGAAGGCTGAGTAAGTAAGTGAAGTCTTAAAGTGACAACTGATGATTGGACCGCAGGGCAGTGAACTATTGGCTAGCTCTGTGTGTGCGTGTGTGTGTGTGTGTGTGTATACGTAAAAAGGTGGCTAGCAGCGTGAAAGGCTTTTGCATGCCAACAAATATAATGACATTATGTGTGGGTATTGAATGAGGTCCAGTAGCATACGTAGTGTGTGTGTGTGTGTGTGTGTGTGTGTGTGTTCTGTCTGTGTGTGTGTGTGTGTGTGTGTGTGTGTGTGCGCGCGTTTGTGTGTGTGTGTGTGTGTGTGTGTGTGTGTGCGCGTGCGTGCTTTAGAGGACAGCGTCAAGCTAACAAAGAAAAAACTAACTCCTTACTCAGCACCTGGCGTTGCTTGACTCTCCTGTCCACTTTCTACACCTCTCTCACACATCTTTCCTGCTCACTTTATCAACCCCTTTCTCGACCTCTTTTCATTCGATGACATTTTTATGTTTTCTTCTCGCACGTACACACACTCTCTTCTTTTTCTGCTGCCCCGAACTTACTTCAGGAGCAGCGATGGGGTTAATGCGGAGCGGCTATTGAATTGGCTATTAAATGGCCATTTTTGTGTGAGTAAGCACTTGCGCAGGGACTCTCAGGGGGAAACAGTCCAAGTTACCTAAAAGTCACTTACTTACTTTTGACACATTTCCACTAAGCAGTCCATTTCTATTATGTTCACGAGACTATGGTGTGGAAGGGTAGAAATCCTAACATGTGTCTTTCGTATGGGGTGGGCATGTTAAAGTGTGATAGGTGCAGCAGCTATGTAAATAGAATAACAGAGATTTTTAAAAAACTAAATAAATAAAGCACTGTTGACACATTGCACGATATCGCTCAGGATAATCTTTTAGAGACATCTGTCAATCTGGCCTTTGTTGACTTTGAACGTAATGAAGATAACGTTCTTGCTCGATGACCCTGACTTAATGCACAAAGAGGGTAGGTCGGTGTGTTCCTCTTACCTGTGTAGTTGGGCGGACAGACACAAGTGTAGTTGTTGATGCCGTCAACGCAGGTGGCATTGTTCTCGCAGTCGTTGTCTTCGCAGTCGTCCGGGTTCACCTCGCAGCGTTGGCCCTCGAAGCCCGGCGAGCACACGCAGCTGAACAGCAAAATTATACAATGAGGCTAATTTGAGTCAGGTCGCTTGAACTTGAAATAAAAAGCAATCACTATCCTGGGGTGAAACCAGACAATACAATACAATACAAAAAATAAAAATAAAAAATCTGATTTTACACTCCAGAAGATCATTCTCAGTTTCTCATTCTGTGATAAAATATTTCAAACAATTCTTAAAAACGTATCATGACTCACTGGATTTTAATTGCAATAATGGACTAATCTAATCTTCATTTTAAAGCCGAATCCAGATGTTAGGACACACCACTAAACCTTCTTGAGTATTGTTTCTTGAGCTAAGCCACAGCGTAGTGTCATAATTTTGATTCACATGCGATTTATTTATTGATCTGTGTGACTATTTCACTCTCATATGTTTCCACTAATCACAACTACCTTCAGTGTAACATTATTAAGCATGTGTTTATGTTTGTTTCCGTATCGGTAAGTCCAAATAATTGAAGTGAAGTAAGTCTGTAGCGCAAAAAAAGGTTGGGGACTGCTGTTCTGTGCTGAAAAGATATCTATGACCTCATCGATTAATCGACTTAACCATATGACGTGCTGCGTAGGTCCACTTATCTGCTGTGAAACCAGAGTTTGCCACATTTCCATGCTCGTACAATATCATTTTATTGTATTCAATTCCAAACAGAAACCTTTCCGAAAGGCCTTTCCCCAAATGTTGGTTTTGTTGGAGCAGAATGGCGGAAAGCCATTTTATTGATCATCACGCAAGAAGGCTCAAATTCATTGGAATAAATCCACAGCTGCGGTGTTCTCCTCATCGTTGATTTATCCATATATTACACCTTGCTGTTTCGTTAATGGCGTATACAATAAGATCAAATCGAATGTTGACTTGTTGATGGGGTTTCAAAGAGGAACATCAGACATCGGCACTTCCTCACAATCTGCAGCGTCCGTGGGCGATAATCAGTTATCTTGAGCTTGCCCCACCTCCTCCTGCTGCTTTCCTTTTAACATCTTCACCTTCTGTTGACACACCTCACTTTTTCCCTCTTGATGGCGGCAACTTGTATTCCTCCCCCGCTTGTATCTCACACACTTTTAATCCCCCTCAACCACACACACACCACACGCGCGCACATTTGCTTGACCGCAGCTGCACTCAGCAACTCGCCCACCCTCTTTCTTCACTTCTCATCCTTGCATTTGTCTCTTACACTTCATCAAGTCGACCCACTTTTTTTTTTTTACTGGATGAAAAGAACTTTTTACAAGCAAGGTCATCCCCAAGCGAGTGAGTGGCACTTCACAACTCGCAACAGCCCCCCCCCCCCTCCCACACACACACACACACATACGTGCGCACACACGTACACACACTTGCATGCACGCTGCCTTTCAGCAACAGACACTTCCTGCGCGCTGCTGTTGCACCAGCTCATTTTTCACCCGTTTTCACACTTTAAAGATGTTCTTTCCCAATCGCCACTTTCTCCTGAAATGTTCTTTTTCTCCAGCATCTAACACAGGGATTATGTTTGAAACCCGAGTAGGGTTTGAGTTAATAAAGTCAATGTCACAGCAGGGTGGATTGTCTTGAATTTATAAGGGAACATTTCAACCAATTTAACATATAAGAGAGATACATGTTGTCTAATCATAAACTGTATAACATACAATTTTTTTTCTGAAATGTTGCAGTTTTATATGGCATGTGGCAATGCTAAGTTATGGAGTAGTAAAAACAAAAAAAAATGTATGTTAACGTTGATGCTTTATACCAATGATTCTTAAAATGCGGTACTTGTAACCCTTGTGGCACTTGGGCTGACTGTAGTCGTACTTGAAAGAATCAGTGCTCAACTTCAGCTTTGTTGTATATAACTTTGGAGTACAATTTTCCTCGATGTAGGCAACCGGGAACTGTGGATAGTGTTGGTGATTTGCAGTAGCATCATTCCCATGAACACTACAATACAGTACTAACACACTATATTTTAATGTCGGTTACTACGGTGGTACTTAGAGTGCTGCTGAGTATTTTCTGATGTGCTCCTTGGTGCAAAGGGTTCATGAACGACCGCTTTGGCCAGTTTGAACTGAAACAGTTCAAATTCTGATGAAGAAGTAAAAAGGGAAGAACATTTTGAATGACAATTAAAACCAATGAAATTAAATTTTATTTTCTCACTAAATTGCTAAATGTCACTTAAAACCGCCCATGGAGGTAAGTATTGATTTAAAAAAAATTAAGAACATTAAGAAGAGAAAAATACAACATTTCTAGGACCATAGAGTGAAGTGCACCAATCGGATCCCAACGTCGATATTTTAAACGACACCATCCGCCTGCAGAGTTTCGCACCTAATTGCACTTATTGAAAATCCCCAAAGGATTATAAAACATGTCATAATGTCAAAGAGGTGGCCATCGAGGACACACGCGTCTACCTGAGCTGCTATCAACATTAGGAGGGCATCTGTAAAAGGGTAAAAGGAGCCAGGATATCATTAGCAGCCGGGGCCGCTAAAGGCCACATGCATATTGAAATCTTTGAAAGGCCAAAAGGGCTCTCCGAGAAGACACTTGTCTTCTTCTTGTTTGCGACACGTGTGCGACACAGCAGGGCATTCAAGAAAGAGAGAGAGCCATAGGAGACTGCTCTCAGGATGGTGCAATGCAGTTGTACACTGCTGCAAACTCGTCATCCATCCTCCAGAGTTGGGGGATATCCAGGATTAGTCGCCAGCCAATGGCAAATCACTTTATATTGACACATCAGCACAATTAAGAGCAAGTATGGGCAACTTAAATGCTGGCGGGGCTCACAATTTTTCATCAGTGCTGCTGGTGGGGCCACATAGGACCTCGCATTTGTATGACAAAAATGTCTTTTTAAATACGGACAAAATATATGCATACATGCAAAATACGTGCTCTTAATACCTTTCATTTTTGAGTACAAAAGGTCCAGTATTGCAATTTGGCACTTTCAGATACACATATTCAGATATTATTTCTTTTCTCATTTATTTATTCTTATTATTTTGTTTTCACATTTTGGATTCCTTCATCCCCGTTTCCCGACTGTTTTCGGGTTTTTCAAAGAAAAAAAAAATTGTTGGGGGTGGTACTCGAGGCCACTGTAGAGTGTGGTTGCATGCAACGCATGTGCCGGCAGTTGCCATTCCCTAATTTGGTCTTTTCAGTAAAGCTAACAAGCTTCTGCATTCTGACAGGACACCGAAGTACCCGAACATGTACCTGTCCCAACAGAAAGACCATAGCCGAGATTCGTACCCCGGGCCTGGGAGTTGCGAGGCATATGGGCTAAAACACAAGCGGACCATATTGCCAACATTCGGTTTCTTCGATGTTCTTCTCGAAAACAAAGTCAGAAGTGGCCGCCATCAGTGCAATTTTCTCAAAACATGAAGTGAGCACTTCAAATGCCACTGAAGTCCGAAATAACAAATTCACGAAAAAAACAAAAGTGACTGTTGAAATACAGTACATGACCTGTTCTGCTGCTCATATTGCTCTTCTCACCAATCTTCCATTTGTGCTAATCATGTGACGTTTTTCAGGCAAGCACCAGTGTTTGAAACATCACGCTAATTTTGACCCATTGATGCCTCGGAATTTGGACTTGTACGTGCAATCGGTGGATATTTTTAACTGAAACAGAAAAGGGGGTTCCCCAAGTGGAAGATTAGAAACAAAAGGGTCAACCTTGAGAAATAATGACGGAATACACTTTTACTCTCATATAAAGCTGTTGGGTTTTTTTTAAACCAGATTTTCTCCAGGCGATAATGCACAAAAACAGTTTTTCCTACACAAAAACTCAATTTTAAGAATTAATTCGGTTCCTATTTTGTCCATATCTCCCATTGTGGCTCCATCCATATATCTTAGTGTGGCTGCATCGCCCGGTGTGCAGCGGACTTAACATCATCCCTGCAAAAAGATAATTTCTTTTACAGTCCTCATTTTGGCTCTCTTGCGATTGTGCAGGTGTCCCTAATGAAGTGTCCAATGACGATACGTTATGAGGCAATGCTGCAAAGCCATCTAGATCACCTCCTATGGATATACTGTATGTGCATGAATGATTTTTGGATTGTGTTACACATCTGCTTAAAAATGCCCGAACCGTTACAGCCATGAGACCATTTGATTTACAGGCTATCTGAGAAAAAAAAAAAATCTTTATGTTTCCAGGCTTCAATTCAGTGGCCATGATGCTCGCTGCCAACGAAGCCCTTTGTTGGCCATTGATGCAAGCCAGGGTGGCTCACGTTACCTTCAGCGGATTGAGCAGCGACAAGAATATAAAGGCGATGACGTCAGCGGCAAGTAATAAATAAGCATATGGAAAGTAAGCGTTGACAGATTTACGTCAAAGCGTCCGAGGGGGGGACAGACTGATGATGACGACTGTCAGAAGTCGAGGACATTTCTGAGCGGTGGTGGAGGTCAGAGAGCAGCTCAAACGAAACTTTTCTCATCTGCTTCTTCACCATCCCCAAACCATCTCCCATTCACAGACAATAAAATACATCACAAAGTCAAAGTTAGTTGTCTTCTTGAGTGATGCACTGCTCAAAGAAGCCAAAAGATATCAAAATACCTATATTATATATTACCTGTAAATGTCGTGACATCACCTCATAGCACTTACTAGGCAACCAATCAGAGGGCATTTTGCAAGGTCTCTGCTATGATGGTACGTTTATACTCTAACACACACACACACGCACGCACGCACGCACGCACGCACGCGCGCACGCACGCACACACACACACACACACACACACACACACACACACACACAAATAAAGGCCTGCGGTTCAAGTTGGTACCTAAAGTGGTCTTCAAGGCCCGGCTGAAGGTGACACGTCCCTCCATTCAGGCAGGGGAAGCTAACACAGGCGTTAATGGCCACTTCGCAGTCCTGACCCTGAGAGAGACAAGAAAGTGAAAAATAAAATCAAATATAATGACGGAAATGTGTTTTGAGTGGGGGAAAAAGTTTTTTTTTCTGCCTTCAGCAGGCCACTTCACTGATAGCTAACATCACAGCATCATCTTCCGTCGTTCTCTCGTCATTATTTCCTATTCTTTTCTCACACGGATGGATTTTTTTTCTGACAAGTTTTAATTAACATTGTCACAGTGCATACCCTAGGAACACTCACGTGCACCCAAACATACCATTTTCTAGTCTGTGATTTTGACAAGGACCTTTGTCCTCCTTTTAAAAGTGCAGTGGTTATAAGGGGCGCATTCATGTACAAAGATCTGCAAAAGTGTGGATAATGGAATCTCTTTAATACTCTTCTTCTGACAAATGAATCACCTTTTTAAGGCCCTCAAATAGGAACCTGAAAATCCATTTGAATAAATTTTGATGCATCATGTATGTATCCTGATGTAAAAAAAAAAAAAATATATATATATATATATATATATATATATATAATTGACGTAATACTGGTAATACTCCCTCTGTGCTTTTCCCATGCAGGATGTTTGATTTTTTGATGATGTCACAATCAGAGCTTTTAATTGACCCAAAGTCATGGCAAGGGAGTAATCGGTTCCTTATGTTTATTTATTTTGATGCTTTGGATGACATATTCTTAGCCTCTTTGCAAAATTTATTCACCGTTTTATTTTTTTTAATTAGTGCTATTAACTGAATAAAAAATACTGATGTGCCTGCTATTTTTTTTCTTATATTCTGAAAATGTTCAAATGCGACTTGGGCAACTACGTTATTAGACTAATGTATGCACAGTAGATATTATTGGCTTTTTAAAAATAATATGAGATAATGTATTGCAAATTATCTTTTACAGACTGAAAGTACAGCTCACAGACCCCCATGGATCCCCAGAGCCAAGTTTTGAGAACCACTGTGATTCTCCTTGAAAAATAGGGAAGCTAGGGCCCATTCATTGCATCCTTGCACCTTTAATTATACATGAGTAGAAACACATTTACACATACACACTCATCCAATGTAGATTTCCCCTTGTCGGTAGAAGATTTGCATGTCTTTGCAGTTACAAGACTCAGGAGAATAAGCACAGCCCCTTTTGTCTTTGGGTCGGTCAGAACCTCCGCTGCAGTCATCATGTCTTTGCTGATGAACGGCCCCATTTATTATGCATGCACGGCTGGAGCTAAACCGGATAATACCGCTAATACCATGGGCTTACGCGATGCGGTTATCCGTCGAGGATCTGGGCCTTGGCTGCACGTACAGTCAATTCCACGAATTACACGATTCACCTGATATCTCTATTTTCGGATTAGTCATATTCTGTGCGAGCGCAGTTTGATATTCGGGTGGGAATTAGCTCTCAAACCAATATAAAGTCAACTAATTTGCGGCTCGCGAGTCGCAACTGATTTATTCATTTATTCATTCTTACATTTTTTTTGTGGCACATTTCTACAACTGTTGGTCGAGAAGGTTTACGTGCTTTCCTTAAATACTCGAAGATGCCTGTAAAAGCCCTGGCTAAGAGGAAAGTGGTGTCACTGAGGTAAGTTCAAGTGATGCATCTCGGCTGAGAGACAAACATGTTTGGATGTTGAGGAGAAGCTAAACGCAGCCTAGGCTGTTAATGGAAAATCACATAGTCCAGAGTCATGGGAAGACTGCAGTAAGTTAACTCATTCATTTTTCTGTGTGTGTGTGTGTGTGTGTGTGTGTGTATGTATAGATATATAAATATAAAACTTGCAGTTTTCCGGTATTTGCCACAGGGCACGGTCTCCTAACTTACATGTTGACAACAGATGCTCAAGTATTGTGTGCAGAGCATCTCACCTTAAATCCAAATGGACAGGTGCACTGGTAGGATCCAGATAGGTCGGACACACATGTGCCGTTATTCCGGCAAGGCTCCGCCAGGCAGGGGGCACATTTTGACACAAGGCTGATATCCACTGGACCTGAGCCATGAAACAGATGAAGAGGATGACAAACAGAGTTGCTAACAAATGAGCAAGATGCTCCAGTTCTAGCCAGAATGTTGATGTGGAAACACAATCCCTTCCCACCTAAATTAGAGGCACACCCGAGCCAGGAATGTATCATTTTTTTGGGATTTAACATGGCTGCCGTTAACTCATTTAGTCCGTTTTCTCGGCTTTTTGGTCAGGAACCTCTGTTTTTGGCCAAATCAAACCATGTTCTAACACTGATTACCATGATTATTTTTTTTCTGCCCAGAGAAGAGTCTCCTCTTTCTTTTGGGAACTTCTTCTGAAACTAAGCTTTGATTGGAACATAATACATTTCATGGTGGCCCACAATGGGGTTAAAAGAGCCTTTTTACCTTTACACTGGAATTTGTTGAGTGGTGTGGTCAGCAGCAGCCTGTCAGCCATGTCAGGAGGTCCGGTGCAGCGAGCGATGCCTGACAACAATCACTCGTTTCTTAGCAACATATGCCACATAAACAGCATTTTACCGTTGTATGACTTTTTCCTACCGGGTTCTTTAAAGCCGGCCTTAACCCACTGGGAGAGCCAGCGTAGATCGCAGTTGCAGTACAAGGGGTTGGCACCGAGAGCCCTGCACACATTTTCACAAAATAGCGTTCCAATAATCCGTTGGTATTGCCGACACCTTTTGTGATGTACTCACAGGTGGGACAAAGCGGTGAGGTGGTTGAACGCGCCGTCCGGGATAGTTGAGAGGTCGTTTCCGTGAAGAGTCCTGAGAAAAGAGCTGATATATGAAGCAATTTCTCTTGATTCGCCATATTTGCAACACCATATGAGACAGTAAGGGGGCAGTACAGAGTTGTGGTATCCACCCAAGGATTTATAATATGAATCTACCTGTCGATTAATTTGATATGAAACTTTCATGCTTTTGATTTATCCCAATGAAGTATTAAAATTCATTGAAAAAAAAAAAAAACAGAGTCGCAGCCGTCATGTGAGGTAAATCACATCGACTGCCAGACGGCCTTGTTCAGGTCGATAAATTATTCAAATTATCTGCGGCACAAGACCACCGCGCACGTCTATAATGGAACATGACTAAAATATTTATAGATAAAAAGAAAGTAAACAGAAAGCTTGTGTTCACAGAAATGAAGCCGGTGCTGCTGCTGGAATGGAATATAGGACATTGTGTGTACAAATGTGCCTGTGTGTATTTTAATGGAGAGTGTGCGTGCGTGTGTGTGTTTTAAGAATATCCTTTTATAAGCAAGGCAAGGAAAGGCAGTTTTATTGATAGTGCACATTTCATACACAATGTAATTCTATGTGCTTCACATAATGAAAAAAAAATGCTACATTTAAAAACAAAATACAATAACTACATCTTTAAAAATAGATAAATACAGGTGCTCGTCAACAAATTGCAGCAGTCCGGTCCTTTTTGTCCTCACCCAGGCTTCTGATTGTGTTTGTTCTTCAAGAGTGGCTTGACACAAGGAATGCGACAGCTGAAACCCATGTCTCACATACGATTTTCACAGTGGTCACATTTTCTGAGATAGTAATTAAAAAAAAAAAAAAAAAAATTTAATCATCTAAATTAAAATGAATTAACACTTCAGGTGTAGCAGATGTGGAATGAATGTATGCATGACACAAGTTTCACTTAAAAAAAATAGTATTACTGAAATAAAAATACTTTTTTCATGACATTGAAATTTTTTGACGAGCACCTGCAAATACACACATGGACTGCTTTGTTCTTAAAACTCCTGTGATATTTTTGCATTAATTTGTCAGTTATTTTTCCCTGAAATATAGGTTAATTGTAGGTAAAGTATGATTTATTATTAAAATCCCCGTAGAGTGAAAACGAATGTGTCCTTTAAATTTGACACACCAGAGAGTGTTGTTATCAACCATGCTAAATTTGAATGATTTGAAGCAAAAAATTAAAATAAAAAAATCAAGGATCCAAGATGAGGTATTAAAATGATGAAAAAATAGGCTTTCTCTCCACTCTCAAATGCGGTGCTGTGGGCGTATCCACTGAATGCTTCGAAACCGCAACCTATTAAACTGTCAATCAAATAGTACTACTTTGACTTTTTATACCATCTTTCATACGCCTACACTTTACTCCATGTTTGAGCCGCAAATATATATCCACCTTAAGCCTCCTTTCCCCACAGAGATTTTTAACACTGTGACAACGAGGCGCTCGAAGACTGCCCTGCCAGAGCGAATTCCCCGTAGACATAGTGGCTGTCAAGCAGATTTTTACACTACACTCTTCTTGCTCTGCCACCCTTCCCCGAGTGACGTGCGCTCACTCATGGTACACAACGAGCAACTCTAAAAGTGTCCACGCTGGCGAACTAACCGAAGGGAATATGCTTTTTTTTTTTTTCTTTCAAAAGGCACGTGACAGTTTGGTCAGATAAATACTGATGGGATTGCATGCACACAAGTTTTAGTGGGGAAGGGGACACTCATGTCAGGGCCCAAGTGGGTCACTGGGCTCCATTTTAGCCATGACCCCACAAAGCAATTTTACGTATACTGTACATTGAATCTCCTTTTAATCAATTTCATTATGTCATTGCTTATCAAGTAAAATGTGTTTTTAAGAAATCTATTTTGGCACTTGAGTACAAAAGTTGCTATCGATTTTCTGTATGTATGTATTTATTTATTTACACACACACACACACACACACACACACACACACGCACGCACACACACACACACACACACACACACACACACGCACGCACACACACACACACACACACACACACACACACGCACGCACACACACACACACACACACACACACACACACGCACGCACACACACACACACACACACACACACACACACGCACGCACACACACACACACACACACACACACACACACGCACGCACACACACACACACACACACACACACACACACGCACGCACACACACACACACACACACACACACACACACGCACGCACACACACACACACACACACACACACACACACGCACGCACACACACACACACACACACACACACACACACGCACGCACACACACACACACACACACACACACACACACGCACGCACACACACACACACACACACACACACACACACGCACGCACACACACACACACACACACACACACACACACGCACGCACACACACACACACACACACACACACACACACGCACGCACACACACACACACACACACACACACACACACGCACGCACACACACACACACACACACACACACACACACGCACGCACACACACACACACACACACACACACACACACGCACGCACACACACACACACACACACACACACACACACGCACGCACACACACACACACACACACACACACACACACGCACGCACACACACACACACACACACACACACACACACGCACGCACACACACACACACACACACACACACACACACGCACGCACACACACACACACACACACACACACACACACGTCTGTGTTTAGTTACTGTACATAGTGTATGCAGCACATCTGTCTCTGCTGCACAAAAGTGCATGTCTACCAAAAAAATTTCACTGGGACATGTTTTTGTGTCAGTTACTAATAGCTCTCCCTCCACTGCTTGGTCCAGAGGGGTGCTGCTGGTAATAAGGGTGTGACAGTGATGACTGCCCGGCAACAGGTTACTAAGCGGGGGCAGTCCCCAAGGCAACATGAACTGAAATGAAAGGAGGATAGGCAGGAAGGATGAAAAAGGAAAGCAATCTGTGAATGTCCGCCAGGTGAGCGCTTGGAGCTTAAAAAAAAAAAAAAGCTTGCGATTATTTTGATGTCCTTGTTTGTACTTGGCTGCATGTCTTTCCAAATGAAAATTTTGGTGTCAGACTACGGTATCAAAATATAACAAAACATACTCAATATAACAAAATATTGTGAGACCAATAAAGTTTTTCTTATCTTATCTTATGTACGAAACGTGGATGAGTTGTAATCCTTTTTCCTTTTATAATTTGACTAAATAGTAATTTGTAGCAGGATGTCAATCTGCTTTTCTTATAAGAAATCCAAACACAAGACGTACTGCACTCATCCGGGACATACGACAACTCTACCTCTGCCATGACACCTGCGAGTTTTGTTTAGAACCGTAATAGGCTCCAGGGGCAGCACAATTAAAAGTGTAATGTCAGTCTGGTGTAATAATCACCACTTTATAGCCCCAAACAACCTGAAGGTGGGCAAAATGATTGTAACGGTGACACATTAAGTTACATTTATAAGTCACAAAGGAGGACAAGGAAATAAAAACTGTGAAAAATCTCAAGTTAGTGAAACAGAGAGGGCTGTCAGGTTGATGAAAGGGGGTGTGCGGCTTTAAAAAACTGGGTCAAGTGAGAGTGCGGTTGAGAGACTTGTAAAGAGGATTTGAGACGTAACATTTGATGAAACGATCAGAGAGGAAATGATCAGACACAAACTATTGGCACATTTCCGTGTAATGAAGCCAGAGGGTCTTTAATATCAGTTACGCATGACACAAAATCAGTTTTACTGATTGCAGCGACGTTTAAAAGCCATGCAGTGCGATTCTATTGAAAATGAGGTGCCTTGAGATACTTGAGACTTTTAATTTGCTCTGGGACCACACTTGAAACTCAACACTTGCGCCTCAAATTATATTTCCATCCATTCCCAAATAAAACCACTTTGATATGCTCTTTAGAAAAACAGAGTAATAAAATACAGTAATTAAAGAGAATGTAAAAATATATATTTAATATATTTATTTAATGCTACATTTTAATTCATTGTGCTGCTCCTTTTGGTGTGCATTTCGTAGCCACTGGGGGCAGTATAATACAGACATACGGACACAAACCATAAGGACTTCTATTACTGTCACAGAAAATAAGATTCTGTAATGCTAGTTGCTTTTAAAAGAGGACAAAGAATATATGCTAGTGAGTCTTCTTATATGTTCTATAGGCTATGTATGATGCCATACCGTTTGTTTTCAAATATTCATGGCTTTAAAACCACGACTATCAATGCTAACTGTTAGCATTAATATTTCAAAATATGTTAGCATTAAGCTGGCAGGTGTAGCGTTGGGCAACTTTGTTTTTTTTAAATACACGACTAGTAATTCTGTTTGTTTTATGTTTTGTGTAACAGTGAGCTTTAACTGGGAGGGGTGTTAACTCATTCAGTGCCAGCCATTTTCAGACCTTTTTTTAATTTTATTTTATTTTTATTTTACTCTCACTCTTGAAAACGTTTGAAAAACATGTAGATAATTACCTGGGATTGAATGTGTGGAGTCTGAAAAGAAATATGAATTGATCCTGTTTCATAAATTGTTCACAATTTCATTAAAGTCTTAAACATTTTGAAATCAATTTAACAGGACAGTATTTTAGTCATTTTGGAAACTTAATTTTATTTCATTACTTGTAAATATTTTCAATGTTTTTTTAAGTCTTCTGTCAGTGTGTTTAAATGTTGTCAATGTATGTTCCTTTCATACGTTTTAGTAAGTTTCTTTGCTTCTGAATGTCGTTAGCTGTTGTGTTTGTAAATGCTTTTGGACATTGTGTCTGTGGCACACTAAGTTGCCTTGTGTCCGAAATATGCTACGTAAATAAAGCTGCTTTGCCTATTTGCCAAACTGATGATGACTGGGAAGTGATTTAATTGTTCACTGCTGTCATACAACGCTTGTATTTTGTAATTGATGAACTAAGCACCTCTGCGACTTAATTATTTTTTTTTTGTGTCTGAAAATCACTCTAGCTCACTGGAAAACCTAACAATTAATTAGAAATTAGCTGCCAATGAACAGCACCGAGACGACCGACCATGGCGGTAAGGCGGCAAAAGGCAGGCACGCTGTGCATTTGAGTCGTGAGACAGAGGGTGGACAAGCTGATGGATGAGAGAGAGAAACACATGCTGAAGGTCCATTCATCAAGCCCAACAGCGGGTGGGCGGCAAGAAGGCAGGAGAGGACAGAAGGAAGGATGGATGGAGGAACGGTGGGACGCATTGGGAATCGAGCGGCTCACATCATGCAGATGATGAGAGCTCATCACTTTTATCTCTTCGGGTAGCCCGGCGCAACAAACGAGCGGGTGGCTGCGACATGCTTTGCACATGGCACGGCGCCAAAAGGGGCTGATTAAATTTTGATTTAGTTCCAAAGCAGCAAGACAGCGAGCACTGCGACATGGGAGCTTGTGACTCACAGCAGGCGGAGCGACTTGAGACCATGGAAGGCGTGGACAGGGATGCAGCGAATCTGGTTGTAGCTCAGGATGCTGTTGAAGAGAATAGACAAGGTCACAGGCCTGAGCTCCAAGCATTTGAGATTTCTCATGCACATGTTGTTTCTTGAGATCATGTGCCATTATACTATCTGTACCCTTTATTACTGGAAGCTTGATGGTGTAGGCATATAAACCTTCGTAATTCAACACCGGCAATGGTGATTTCTCGCATTTTTATTATGTACGGCTGCAGAGTGCGGCATTGCTGGGAGGATGAGACGTGCCCCAAAATAAAACAGAATGGCTTTCTATTGGGTAATGGCATGACATCTGTTCTCAGTATGCAACGAAAACAAAAAGGAACAGACCTTGTTGTTCCAAATACTGTACTTTTGAATGGGACTCAAGACTTTTACGTGTGTCTGTCACGACAGACATGGCCATCCCATTTCATGTCGATTGCTGAAAATGGTTCGCTTTAGTGCCGCCCATCTGGCTTGTGTACCTGCTCCAACTGGGGTTCATTTCGACAAATCCTTTAGTCTGAGTTTATCAAAAAGCTCCCCAAAATGGCTGACTTCATTTTCAATTTCATTTATGGGTCCTTGAGACATTTTAATGCGTCCTGTTACCATTGACATGTCCATCCAATTTCATGTCGACTGGTGAAACTCATGTTTTTTTTGTTTTTTTCTTTCCCTGTGCTAGTGTAGCTTCTCATTGTGGGCTTTTCAAAGTCAAATGTAGAAGGACAGCTTGTTCTCATCATATTTTTGTATGAGTTTGTACAAACAGCAATGCCCTTTCTTTAGTAGAAAACTGGCTTATTTTCAGGGTTACTCGGAAAAGCTTTTCTAGAAAATGAATTTTTATCTGAAATTACATGCCTGGAAGCCGAACCTCCCAGCATAAACCACATTTGGGCTAAAATACGACCTTTTCAATGACATGTGTCCGCCATGTTTTTTTACTTGTGTTGCCATTTTTTCCCTATGCTTCGCTGCAGAGGTTTGTTCATGTGCACCGGCGCATTGGCGTTCAGTTCCAACACATTATGCTGCATTATGTTTCACAGAACTGTCAACTCAATTCTTGTGAGAACGGAAAGAAGCGGTGGACTATCTCTTCCCCCTGCAGTGCAGTAAAGACACCCTTGAGCCGCACACTTAAATCACAGTCTGTTCCGTTGATGTTTTTCTGGGGGCTAACTGATGTAGTTGTTTGCACTGGGTGACTCCCTGGCGTGAACAAGCGTGACTGCACAAAAACCGGATACGTTTCAAGGCTTGAAAACAAGCTAAAAATGCATAGTGTTACTCCAACCTTGTGGCGTGACCAGTGTCAATGGGCGTGGAGTGTAAAATAAAATGTTTTAAATGGCTTTTATGGAGCAATGCAAATGTAAAGGCAAGTCATTCCGTTCTGCCAAATTATAAACATGGACGCAACATTTTGGAGCAATCACATGTTTAAGAGTTGAACAAAGCGGTCAACAATGGAAATCTGTCACTGCAATATGACCGTCTCACTGATTGTGGAGCTACGGGAATAACTTACAGCGTGGCCAGTTGAGTTATGTTGCTGAAGGTGTACGGCGGCACCGTGCTGATACTGTTGTTGCTCAGGTCTCTGTAGAGGCAAACATATATGTTTAAGACACACACACACACACACGACACACACGCTTCCTCGCACACACACACACACACACACACACGACACACACACTTCCTCTACCACACGAGGATTTAGCAGACGAAGGCGAGCGGCCACGTGTACGTACACCAGTAACAGATGCTTCAGGGCCGCCAGCTCCTTGGGCACAGTAGTCAGCATATTACCCTCCAGATAACTGCAAGGAGAGTACATGGTATATATATTTGAGAGGAAACACCGCTACAGAATATATGGGGAACAAAGTGAAACACGGCTAGTCGTGGTTTGCTATTGATAGACTCTCAGGATCGGATAGAGAGACCATATCCCCATTTTTTTTTATTTTTTTTTTTTATAAACGCTGTAAAGAAAGTTTACAAACATATTCATATATATTGCAAGCAAATTAAGTATATTACATAGTGTACATATTGTATGATCTGTGTACATGCATGAGATTTCAAGAGGCGGGGCTTGTTGGAGTGGCATGTGCCATGAGCGAGTTGGCAAATGCCAACTTGCATGTTTTGCTGAAGCTATGAGAGAATATTCATTCAAAAAAAAAAGGTATTCCCTTGTTTGAATACAAATGGACATATTACTATCAAATGGAAACCATAGTGAAGAAGCAACAAAAGCTAAATAAAAAGAAATTCACAGATAAGGCATTTGAAAGAATTCAAATACACTGTGGTCAATAGATAAATTTAGCACCTCTTTTCATCCATTCAGACGTACTTGTACCAAGGTTATTTTTTTAGTTCAGGAAAACTCACAAAATAAAACACTGAAAGAAATTTATTTCTGTCTTGCTGTACATCTATAGAGGAGGAAGGTCATACAATAGTCTTGAGAATTGTTTACTTCATTACCCAATACCCACTGACTGGTGTGTGTGTGTGTGTGTGTGTGTGTGTGTGTGTGTGTGTGTGTGTGTGTGTGTGTGTGTGTGTGTGTGTGTGTGTGTATTGAGACTACATACCTGGTGTGTTATATATTGTTGTGTGTTCGAAAATCCATTGTTTCTAAAAATATGATGCTAACTGTTAGCATGTCAATGACACTTCCCTTATGTTCACATTAAGCTAGCGGGCCTTTCAGGCAACATTGTTTGGTAGTTTTAAATACACGCGGTATAATTCATTTTTTGTAAACTTCAACAGGAAATAGCGTTAAACAGCTTCAAGACTGTTTTGGTGATTTATTTCGGTTATTGCCAAACTGCTGCTTATTTTATTGTCAAGTTTGTGCTTGGATGTCAAAGCAAAGAACAACGGAAGGATTTGCAAGTCGGGTGTGTGTGTGTGTGTGTGTGTGTGTGTGTGTGTGTGTGTGTGTGTGTGTGTGTGTGTGTGTGCATTGAGACTACATACCTGGTGTGTTATATATTGTTGTGTGTTCGAAAATCCATTGTTTCTAAAAATATGATGCTAACTGTTGGCATGTCAATGACACTTCCCTTATGTTCACATTAAGCTAGCGGGCCTTTCAGGCAACATTGTTTGGTAGTTTTAAATACACGCGGTATAATTCATTTTTTGTAAACTTCAACCGGGAATAGCCTTAAACAGCTTCAAGACTGTTTTGGTGATTTATTTCGGTTATTGCCAAACTGCTGCTTATTTTATTGTCAAGTTTGTGCTTGGATGTCAAAGCAAAGAACAACGGAAGGATTTGCAAGTCGGATATCGTGTATCTTAAGAAAGATACAATCAACGAGAAATAAGGTTTGGGATGTTTGGCTCGTGGAGCAAAGCTACAAAAACTGCACTTGAATGCATCTCAGTGAAGTTTTTACTTACACACAAATGGAATAATGCAACATGCCTCTCACACACACATGCTTTGTGACAAACTGCTCCCCCACCTTTCTCCTGGCTCAGAAGTAGGTCGAGTGGACACTATGATGGAGTGTCTTCTTGGGCCTAATCAATACCTAATCACTGTTATTGACCCCGAGGAGCGGGAGTCATTCCAGAGCTTGCGGAGCGGCGACAATGTCGTCGTTCAGCTTTAGTATGAGGGATATTCTCTCCACAAAAAACAAATAAATAAATCTTCCGTACCATTTACCCTAGCTGCCAACGTTATTGCTCTTTTACTATTGCTGTGACTCTTAATTAAAAAGAAAAAGAATAGATAAATAGAATGTAGTCAGGTAGGAAGGATAAACTTAACAGCCTTAGCAGTGTTTAGGCAAAGTGTTTACAAGACTGACCATGGCTTCTGCACCTTTGGCATCGTAGCATTACAAACCAGTGAATGTGGTTTAGAAAGCAATTTCAAAACGTGGACAGTTTGTGGTTTCACCGTCCAGCTTTCAGTAATGCTGCTTGGGGGCTTTCCGTTCCCCCTTCCAAACGGACATCCCCGCAAAAGTACAATTCACGCAATTTACATCAGCACAAAAACGTTTCAAAACCAATCAGCCCCCGCACGATGCTGATCATGTGTCATCTGCTAAGAATTATTTTCACATAGAAAAAAGTCAATTACATTTAAAGTGAAAAAAATGCCTTGCTGGTGACCAAAAAAAGGATTCATTTTATCAGCCGTTTTGGTCTGGATTAATTTTCATCAATGGGGGTCAGTGCTCCACCGGATGAATTTGGTTAATCTATTTTAGATTTTCTTGTTAAAACAAATTTTTGGCGTGTGTTTACAATGTGTTTAAGTAAATTTCAATGTGATTCTGGCACGTATCACTGTATTTTATCCATTTTCTAATGTGCTTATCCTTCCAAACAGACATCCCCGCAAAAGTACAATTCACGCAATTTACATCAGCACAAAAACGTTTCAAAACCAATCAACCCCCGCACGATGCTGATCATGTGTCATCTGCTAAGAATTATTTTCACATAGAAAAAAGTGCAATTACATTTAAAGTGAAAAAATGCCTTGCTGGTGACCAAAAAAAATTCATTTTATCAGCTGTTTTGGTCTGGATTAATATTCATCAGTGGGGTGAGTGCTCCACCAGATGAATTTGGTTAATCTATTTTAGATTTTCCTGTTAAACATAACATTTTTGGTGTGTGTTTTCAATGTGTTTAAATAAGTTTCAATGTGATTCTGGCACGTATCACTGTATTTTATCCATTTTCTAATGTGCTTATCCTCATGAGGGTCGCGGGCGTGCTGGAGCCTATCCCAGCTGTCTTCAGGCAGTAGGTGGGGGACAACCTGAACTGGTTGCCAGCCAATCGCAGACTGTGGTTAATATTGATGAGAAATCTTTGAATAAATAACACCGATAAATGTTAAGACGCGAATGGCATATGGCATTTAAGTCATGGGCCGATGGGGCACTTATGATTGAGCCTTATGAACACTGCCTGGCAACAACTGTCCACCCCCCTCCCCCCAAAATGTTTTTTTTGTTGCTCGTTAACATTGTGACATTTTATCATGACTCACAAATAACGAGTGAATAAATTCCACGGCTTTGCTTTTACGTAAGTGGTTGGTTCCCAACTATTTTATTGATTATAAGAAATCCCTTGGTCTAAATAGTTTGGATTTTAAGTGTGTCTGCTTGGCAGGAGGGTGTGCACCAGACTCACAGTTCCGTGGCGTCCTTGGGAATGCCCTTGGGCAGCGAGTGCAGCCCTCTGTTGCTGCATCGCACCACGCTGTCTGAGCATGTGCAAACATCAGGGCAGCCAGATGAAGGAAGGCAGCCGTTGTCCTCGCCACCTGAAAGACGGAGCACGGGGGTTGGTCAGAGAGAGCGAGAGGGAGGGCGCGAAAGAGAGGTGGCAGAACGTTTTTCATTCTCTCTCTTTTTTTTAATTTGCAATTTGGGAGTTTGGTGCATCGCTCAACAAGAACTCCTCCCCCAACAAGCACGATCAATCTGAGTCAATGCTGACTTTATCCACTATGGTGGGACGATGGTGTTTGAGGCTAATTGTGCATACTTAGCAGGTAGATAAATGGGCAACATTAGCGCGTTTCTAGCATGACAAGAGCTGGTACTATCTTGACAACTCTTGCAGCCATAGTTTAACTTTAGCTCTTTAAAAAAGGATGAACTGTAAATAAAGGATTGTCTTATCTTAGGCTTAGGGCGTTGAAAGAAAAAGAAGGGGAGTTTTTCCCATTTAATGATTCGAATTGCACATGTGGATGCTGATCTTATCTGAGCATTCCAACATATGCAGTGGAAATGTAAAAATCCTTCTCCAGTTAAAAAAAGTTCACCAGTGCAATAAACTTTTGTGTTTTATTCATTTGCATAATGCATTTACTGTACGGGTGTTTATTTGAAGGAGGTGTCTATTTGAATGATGAATTAATGACCCTCTTACCCTGAGAAATCCTGAGTACTCAGTTGTGGGGCTATAGCGTGTTAATCCCCCTTTCAGTTTTCCTGATTTTGTGGGCGTGGCTAAATCAATGTCATGTGATACACTTTGTTGTCTGACGTGAGTCCCTTCTCCCCGCCTTTTATTTGCATTCGTGGTTATTCGACGACGTGCAGTTCGTTGGCGTGCGAGTGAGCTATGACTACGCCATTTTGAAGACATTTGAGCTTTGTGATTTTTTTTTTCTTCCAGGGGGCTATTTGCAAGCATACAGTTGTCCAAGTTGTTCATCTGAGCGTATTTGTATTGTTATTCTCACTAATTTTGTATGTAAGCGCTTTATTGCAGCTGCAGCTGTTGTGAAAGCGCTATATAAATCAGCATGTATTGTATTGTATTGTGTTTTGTGCCTTTTCTTCACACTGCTGCCACAAATTAATCTCACAGAGTGGGATCAATAAAGTCTTATCTAACCTCAGATGAACAGAGGCTGATAAGACAACACTTGCAATCAACAAGGACTGTGTGACAAGGACGTATCCCCCCTACCCCCACATATATACAGTGTACAAATAAAAACACTTGAGAGGTGTGCTAGCTAGTACATATGTAACAATTGAAAATCCAAGCTAAGCATGCTTATATAGACATGGTCACAACCCCAAAAAAAACACATGGCTGGTTGTACAGGCCTTGCGCACTGAAGAGTTAGGAATGATCACAGCCCAAAGCATTGTTCTTGGCTGAGAAAGGCTTTCATTTCCTTGTATAACACACAAACACACGCTCACACACTGTGCTAACGTTGCGCTGCTTGTCGCATTATGGGAACACTTGAACTGTGCTTTGAATAGAGTGAAAGCCAACAGAGTTAAAACCATAATGAAGGATAATGAGGAGGAGCCACCGAGCCAATAACAACGCAATTTGAGTTTCTGTGTGTGTGTGTGTAAATGGACACTCAAAATAGGTTTATATTTAGTGGTCGTGCTTTTTGCGTATTGTGATGTCACCGCCAGGCAAGATTTTGCAGTTTGTAATGAAATTCAAGCAGCACACCTCCTTAAATTGCACAAAGTTTGGACAGGAACTGACTGTGGTTTAGAAACACAAGCTAATTGGCCACTTACAGAGATTAAGAGTCCAATACGGTCAAAACAATTGTGTAATCTACTCAGATGGTTGAATGTTTGGATTCAATGAGTGCTTCACCCCATCAAAAGGGGTCGGAAAATGTTTTCGTTTCTCCCTTGTGAACAGTGGTCTCTTAGGGGTACATTTCCAGTTACAGGTCGTTTCATGGATATTCAATAGCTTCCTTTTACATCTCTTTGACGAGTATTCACGAGCTGGTATCAGATTCTCATGGTATGATAAACTTGAGCGGTTTCACAGTATCACGGTACTGCAATTACACATTAAAAACGGAGCTATTGTTTGTTAAACGTAGAATATTTGGTACATTAGTAAATGTAGAAATAAAAACTTTTTCTGAATAAAATCTAAATGTAGCACACCGGTAAAAGTATTGTTTATTTTTTCAGAACAAGTTCAGCTTCTCTGCTTTATTAAATAACATCAGAGTATAAACGAGCTCAAGTTAGCCTGACTAGGAAGAAAGGCAAATGTATTTATTTCATCAATTGTGGACATGCTAACTTTCATAGCTGATTCATTTCAAGAAAGTGTTCTATCAATATATTCATTAAAATATTAATGTTAACTTGAATTTGGAAAAAAAAAGATTCTCAGAAAAAATGATGAATAGGTAAATCCACGAAAGCCGAACCACCAATACTCGGAGGGTCCACTGGATTGCCTCCTCCAGCAGCCATTCTTCAGAAGCACTTTTTGCATGATTATCCTTCTACCAAACCACTGTACTCAAAATATTTCCCAAAAGTGGTGACTTTTTCAACAACGGGAAAAGTCGTCAGGCTCATTGACAGCTCGTTGGCAATATGTTATTCTGTCTGCACTGATGACTCCTCAAAACACGCACATGCACGCACACACACACACGCACACACACATTTACACATCAAGTCCACCCACAAACTAAAATACAAGTGTTAGAACGTGTAATAAACCTCTTCAATAGCATTTATATGACTTCATATTGTCAAATCTTACACCAACTTTTTACCAGTGCCAAACCAGCAAACGACTTTCCAAGACGATCTTTCATAAAAGTTTGCAGCGCAGGAAATTATCAGAAGAGTGAAAATCAATTCCAAGTAAGTTTGGATGAAGAGAAAGGCATCAGCGCAGCATCAAACTTGGCGACCGAAGCGAGCAGCCTTGGTGGCGATTGGAAGTCATTGTCGTGGTAACGGCAGCGTCAGAGCGGGAACCACACAGTGATGTCATGATGTCACTGGGGGCGTCTGGCCAGCGGTTAGCATTCGCACTGGCCTCACAATACACTGCCGAGGATGTGGAGCGTGCTTATGAGCTGCCGCGTTTCCAAAATAACAACGCGACCGACAAGCCAGATCGCGTAAGACGCAAGGACTCGAAACACAGACGTGAGCATCTGGATGCTTGGTTAAGCGTTGACGTAATGAGCACTGAACCGCGACCCAGTTTATTCAAGTTGAGTACTCATCCAGAGACCCATTGGCACAACATGACAATGTGAAGAATTACATCCTGATCATTTCAATTTCCTTTCCTCTCAGGAGAATTTAATCCTTTTTTTTTTTTTTTTAAATGCTGCGCTCAACACTGCTGGGAAGTCAGAAACATCCTACTGGAGGATTACGATGCCCAACCTCAAAATGATCCAATTTAGGGACAACCGCGATATAGTATTTGTTTTGCTTGTGAATTACTCATCTGACCGTCAGCAGTCTTGGCAACAAACAATGTTTTTCTATTTTTTTTTTTATTTTTTATTTTTGTGGCAGTTTTGACAAATTTTAAAAATGATGCATGAAAACTTCATGCACTGATAATATATCAACACACTAATATATCATGTAACCAATAAATGCAGATATTGGAGATGGTGCCTGCGGCCACTGACGTTTTTTGACGTCAGATGACTTCACCCTCTATTTGTTCCAGTCGGAACTTGGACTTTGAGCGATGTTCCAATCGATATTTCCAACTCCCCGTGTATCATTAGTCTATTTTATTTGTTTTAATTTATCCATAGCTACGACCGCTCATATATCCTTGCAAGATGTGCAAGAGCACAGCCTCAGATGATCCATGTAAGCTTTAGTTTTTGTGGACAGTCATGTTGTTGAGATGCTTAATTGTCTGGTGATGAAGCTTGATAAGTCTCTGGAGGGGTCTTGACCCCCGGTGGGCCTCGCCTAGCAGTGGTAACCCGTAATCCCTTACATAAAATATTAAATTCTTGTTCACTGAACGTTTGAGAAGATGTGAGCCAATCAATATAGTAATGTGGTAGAATGCTGAGGATTATGTTCTAATGGGCCAAAAACAAAACATGTCCGTCCCACAGCTTATCGCATTACCATCGCAGGTGAAGTCGGGATTGGCCACGTCCTGGATGGGGATCTCCTTGAGGAAGGCGGGCCTCTGACAGCGAGGGTTTCCACTCACCACTCTGGTCTTCTTCAACCACTGACCCAGCCAGGCCAAGTGACAGTCGCACACATACGGGTTGGACAGGAGGTTACTGCCAAAAGACACACAAACAGAATATAAGCAGAGTATATGCAGACTGAATTTGTCGGGACTTGCTGTTTTCCATCTCTCGTCTACGCTTTGGCTTAGCTGGAGTCACCTCGTTTTTTTGAGAGAATGAGGGTACTGTTGGCCACAGTTAGAACACAGACTTTCTTCCAGGGCAGATTGTGGGTCGAAAAGAAATGGGACTGCAGAAAGTGGAGATGGTTGAGTATAACATTGCAGTGTCCAGAGTGAAGGTAAGACATATCAGCTCAACAAATAAGCACCCCTTAAAGTATTGGGACAACCAGGTGCTAGAAATATTTCCTGTTTAGTATCAACGACAGTTGAATCAAGGCAACCGGACCCTTCATCGGTTTTGCGTTCAAAACAAACCTTTGCAGGACTGACGAGACATGACAAAGACGAACAGAAGGGACACCACTAGCAAGCAAGAGCAAGCGTTTCTCAGTTGCTAAGAACCAACAGAATTTCAATGTTGATTTTACAACACTGCTAACTACACATTCGGTCATAAACTGAAAAACATTCAAATGGAAGTGCGTGGTGGTGGTGGTGGTGGTCGGGGGGCTAAGAGGAAATCAAAGAGGCCGGGAGAAAAAGGTTATCATTCATTTTTTTTATTCATTTTGTGAACTAAATGAGATACAGAGAGTTAGAGATAAGCAGGCCAGGCGAGCCAAACAGCAAAAGAAGCAAAAGAAAAGAAGGTTATCGTATTCATCGCATTCTTCTTTTTCGATGACTTCTCATCGTTTTTTGTTGCCTTTCCGACAGCTCATGCGATATTTATGTTGAGGCATATTAAACCTGAGGGGGAAGGAGGAGGAGCAAGGGTTTGGCAGCTGGCATCATTTTCCCAGACAAAAGTTCATCTTGAAAAATGAATGACGGGTCAGGGCTTCTGGTCCGCTCTGGCTCCGTTTGTAGTGCGGCTTCGGGGACATTTGTTACCACGGTTACAGTAATAAACAGGCCACGGATTTTCTCATAACACTGCTGTGTTGAAAAATGAATTATTACCTTTATTTAAATACTGTTTTATATTTAAAAATACTATATAATCATTCTCTTAAAATAATGGCCTAACTAATACTTCGACAAAAAGTACTATAATATTTTTTTTTGCCTCAAACGTTTTCTTAGGCTGCTGGCCATCTCTGCTAAAATAATAATAAATTAAAGTGAAGATAATTTAATTTTACACCTGAACTTAAATGATTAATATAACATAGATATCCTGTAAAAAAACAAGGATGTCCATTTTTGTCATTAAAAAAAAAAACGTATATGGGATGTCGGCGTTTCGTACATCTCATTAACGTAAAACAAACCCCCCAAAAAAGTGGGCATGCTTTTCACAGGACAGCGCTGAAATTATATAATACAGGAATTTTATAATCGGTCTTTGGTTCATTTTTTTTTTTTGTTTTCTGACAAAAAAAAACAAAACAAAAAGACGGGCCATTATTTTAGGAAAATGACAATGTTATATAATGCTATTTTCTTTCTTTAAAATAATGTCTGAACATTTTCTGTTGTTATTTTTATGAGCCGATGAACTGATTAATGGCATTTTCATTCATTTTAAAAGCCGTTTTCCAAACAACACAAGACCCATGCAGACTTTCAAATTCTGGCCAGGACAATTCAGCAATTCATGTAATAATTCTTTGTGTGTCACAATGTTAAAAGGATGCTTCTTCTTCCGCATCGGAAGTCCAGTTATTTTTTCATTTCCTCGCAATGAATTGACCTCCATGTGTGGCGACCCTACCTCAGCCAAATCCCTTCCTTCCCCTTTTCGATGTGTTAATCTTTTAATTAAACCCACACACTCTACTGGGAAACAAGAGGTAGGTGTGAAAGGGTGTGCGGGTTGGTGGAGAGGGAGCCTAAAAAAAAATTAAATAAAAATACACAAGGCGGCTAAGGAAATGAGCAAACAGGCTTTCTCCAAGAATTTCCCCTTGTTTCTTTTATGGCACACAATGCATGCACCAATTAAAAGTGAATGCCAAGACTGATGCAAGGCTAAAACCCCCAAAAGATTATGGTTATTTTCGTAAATACCTACATCATCAAATTAATCAACTGCAAACTCATGTGTATACCTATAGAATCTTACAATATGTGTCACATGGACCCTTGACCCAAAACAGATTGTCATGAAGACATGCAAAGACACGATTAGTAATCCCAACAAACTGGACAAGCAAAACATAGCAGAGTGATCCCGTGAGTGTTAAAGGCATCCTTCCTACATAATTTAAGATCCCATTTAATACCTTTGTAGGTTAATATACCGTATTTTCCGCACTAAAAGGCACACTGAATTATTAGGCGCACCTTCAATGAATGGCCTATTTTTAATTTTTTTTCATATATTGCACGCACTGGACTAAAAGGCACAATCTACAATGCATCGACTAGATGGAGCCACGGCCCTTCACTTGACTCGAGAGGCGTTCATGACCGCCTCCAAAAAACGTAAATTAACGATTACTTCAATGAAACGATCAAAATTGAAAATACAGTAATGCATCAACACAGAAAATCACAAAATGAATTCTATAGCCCCCCGACAGAATTTATTTAGGCATTTCATTGAGCGTAGCTGCAACAGAACGACCAGATGTCAGTCAATTGTAGGAGACTGGACTGTCTCAGCAGTGTTTGTTATTTATTCCTTTGTTGTGTACTGTATTCACAAACGAGGAAATCACAAAATAAATTCTGTAGGGGAGCTCTAGAATTTATTTTGTGATTTCCTTGCTTGATTTTCTGTTTTGATGCATTATTTTCCATTTCCGTAGTTTCAATGAAGGAATCGTTAATTTACGTTTTTCCGCCGGTCATGAACGCCTCTCGAGTCAAAGGAAGAAGAGAAGGCACGGAGACGGACAGACGTAACTGTATTATAGTTGAGACTGTGAAAAACATTCATAAAGTGTGCGTTTTAAAAAAAAAAAACACCACCACAGCTCTCTATTTTTTGAAGCTGCAACAAAAACTTAATTTAATAAAGTTATAACATTGTCAGCATGTCTCCAGGAAGGAGCCACCTTGGGGTCAACATATTACAGTAATGACCATACACAAGGCGCCCCGGATTTTAAGGAGCGCTGTGAGCTTTTAAGAAAATTGAAGACTTTTCGGTGCGCCTTGTAGTGCGGAAAATACGGTATTCAGTCCACACCCTTGACTTAATACCAGAGACTTAAGTGTGTCATTTGGTGCTGCTATTTTAGTTAGCAACAGGTTCACAGCGTTTAGGTCTTGTGATTTCCAACAATTCTGCGGTGAGAATTCATTATCCACTTTCATTGAGTTGGCCTTAAAATTGCTATTTAGTGACTACAAACCATTTATCTTTCGGGATCAATCGATGAAAGTGACGTCCAGTAACGGGCAGAACATTTAAATGCGCTTCCACTAGATGGCAGATTAACCTGACGTGTCATTGTGTAAGTGCAAACAAGTTGCAGCAGAAATCCCACCTTATCCAGATTCTGAGTGAAAGGCAAAGACGGCTATTTGGTATTCACTTCTGTTTCAGCCATTCGATGGAAAATATTGTTTTACAGCTCAATTTTATGCAGCAATATGTATTTGTCCAACCTTCCTGTCAAAACTTGACTCCAACAAAGAATGAGGTAGAACTTTGAATCGACGTTGACGAGTATACGAGCTCTTGTTGTTTTGAGGGGGGGGGGGATAGACTTTTATATTGCGGTATGTGTTCACAGTAAAAAATAAAGATAAACTTTTGAGGTTTTACGAGGCTGATATAATACGTTATTTACAACCTTCACATGTACAGTTGGTGGTCGGAAGACGGAAGACAAGCAGTACTGGCATGTAATTCACTCCCTCATAAACGCAACGGGGAATGTGGCTGATAAAACAACGAGCCTTTGGCTCAGTATATACTAGAACAACCAAGAAAATCAATGTCTGTGCATATCAGTTCTTAACAATGTTGTCAAAAATCTCAGTCCAATTGGACAAACAAAAACAATGTTGACAAAACATGACAAACACGCATACCAATTGATTGACCGTACGAGTTCCTGGTTGAAAATAGTAATATCCTTGAAAACTGTTCTTCGGCTTTTGGATGGTTTTAGAATTTGATATATGTAATGTCGGCTGGATGAATTAAAGGAGACATTACATATTTTTCCAACTACAAAACAGTTCACAGGGTTCTTAATAAAACGCTGAGACCTCATTGATTCCCAACAATTGTGACATTGGAAATGATGCAATTTCCCTGAGTGGTTGGTATGTTATTTACAAACCAGATTCTAATGTTAATATTTGTTCGGCAATTTATGCCAGCGATGTATAGTGACATGCAGAACAATTAAATGCTCTTTCACTCAATGGCAGAATGCACAATCAACCACTTTTTGTGGGCACGTTTTGTGACATTTTCATTTGGCGTGTGATCTTTCAAATATAAAATATGTGCTTGTGACACTGCCACAAAAACAAACCCGACTTACATTGTGGAGAGGGAGTGCAGGGTGGCAAAGGCTCCCGGGGCGATGCTGGCGATCCGGTTGTCGTACAGCGAGAGCAGACGCACCGAGCTCAGGCCCGTAAATGTCGTGTTGTCAATGCAGCTGATCTGGTTGCTCCGCAGCATTCTGGAATGCGGGTAATAAATTGTACAAATAAATCACTTTATGTCACTCATCTCCCGATTCTACATGAAAAACAGTTTGCCAACAAGGCAATGTAATTTGTTGGGAAAATATTTGCACTGGAAGATTAGTACCTCCACATACGCATTATGAAGTATTTATAGCAACACACGGCTGTCAATTGGAGGATTTAGTTACAACGACAATACTTATATTAATATAGTGTATGGCAGGTGTTGCCTGTCAAACACGAACTTAATGCCAAACATGTTCTCATGTTTATACTCCTCTGTCAAAACCAAACATAAGTTTTAAACAGGGCTTTGTCAAAAGAGCTCTTGCGATGTGTGTCTTGGATTGAAAATGTCTACTTTGAGTGGGTAAAAAGAAAATTAATATATAAATAGCACAATACGATCTGACCGGTCCCCAAAGGACAACCGCAACTGAGTCTGCCCTGAGACATCAGCCATGGTCGCCTTGGGAGTCACGTGGGCTGCAGCTAATCAAGTTAGTGAGCAAACTGCGGGGGGGCTAAACGAGTTAGCTTGGCTATTACTGTAGCATGGAGCCGCTTAACATGAGACAGAGACGGTTTTCATGCCATTAGCGAGTCATTAGCCCGAATATATATAAATGATAGCATTAGCTCATCTTTACCACGCATGTACAGACGACATTAGCTAGGCTCATAATTTAGTGCGCTATCATGTAACACCCTAATTGGACGCTAGCCAGTTTAGCGTGGGTGGCTAAATGAGACTGTCATTAGCTTTGATTTCTGGGTGGGTGAATAAACAGTCTTACACTATCAGTTACTATCACAAATCAAAAAGGCATTTTGAGTCTAACACTATCAGTTACAATCACAAATCGAAAAGACATTTTGGCTGTAAAAGCACACACGCACGCGCGCGTGCGCGCGCGCACGCACGCACGCACGCACGCACGCACACACACACACACAAAACCCCACACACACAAACATAGAGACCACACACACACACACACACACACACACACACACACACACACCAACGAAGTTCACATCAACCCAAGTTAACTCATGTGTTCCATTGTTATTTCCAAATCCAGCTCTACTCACTCTTCATGTGGACTTGGGACAGAGCCCTACAACAAATAGCTAAACTCTGCAATTAAATAGCACAGGGTTTACTATCAATGTTCGAATCATAGTATTTGGTATTCTACTGTATATCCTATAGATGCCACAAGATGGTGGCAAAGCAACATCTCTCTCAAAATAAAGCTCCTCAACTCACATAAACAAAGCACTACGTTTTTCTAGATGAAGCTCCTCAACTTACTTCAACATATTTCCTTAGCACTGAGATGTAAAAACAAAACAAAAAAAACCCCGTATGCTTATATGCAGGGGTTACACTTACAGAGTTTTCAAGCCAGTAAGGCCTCGGAACATTCGTCCCTGCAGTCCTGTGAGCTTGTTGCCAGTCAGAAGAAGCTCCAGAACGCCCGACGCTCCGTCGAAAGCTCCCTCGCGGATGTCCCGCAGCTTGTTGTTGCTCAGGTTGCTGAAACAAAGAAGTCAGCAAGAAAAAGTCTGCCTTAAAAATGACACTACACAGTGAGTGAACTGTTGACAGCACGCTCTACTATGAGAAAATAACAAGAAAATGTTCACCAGTTAAATGCAGATTTTGATTTAAAGGAGACGTGATTTTTGTTTTTTTTTACCCAGAATTTCAAACAGTTCCAAAACAGGAAAAACTGATCTTAAAGACAGAAAAGAAAAACAAACCAAAAAAAATTTTAATGAAATTAGGATTACTTCAGCAAAATTATCTGCCAATAACATCAAGAAAATTTGACTTGGCAAGATTAATATCGTAGCAGTAGTAGTAGTGGTAGTAGTAATAGTCATAGTAGTAGTAGTCTAGAATGTATGTAAGTATACCTATGACATGCTTATTAAAAAAATAAATAAATTAAACCAGGAATTCCAACATGCTTCCTCCACTGTAGGGTCAATACTGCGTACATTTTTGGTTGCCATGGCAACCAGGAGTGTAACTATTTTCTCCCCCGGGCTACAAAACAACTACAGCAAAGGCATGAATTTTATTTTCACTCATAGGTGCAGTACTTCATGAACAAGTGGATGGAAGTCCACTTGTCAATTAACATGCAGATTGGTGCATATGGTACAAGCACATTGCAAATTTCTCGATGCAGAATTCTCGATAGAGCTCTTCTAATCGCTCTCCTCAGATTGTGTGGGTGTACTTAAAAGTTTTGTCTTTTCCTGAATTTTCTCTATTGCAGTTACACACCTCTTTACATGTTTATGACATGCTTCCACCCAAAATGATGATTAATTACAACACGCTTTCCGCACCTTCCACTTTGGGGCCCAAAGCAGAGTGCAATTTGTGTTACCATGGTAACATAAGGCAGAAGCATACACTTGTTGAGCCCGAAAATGAGTCTGTGTAAGCAAATATTTATAATTACCGTTAAAAAAAAACTGATTGTATTTTCACTCATTGGGGAACCACTTCACCACCAAGATGCGGAATTCCATTTATCACTGAGTCAGTTCTTATTATAATTCTTGGACTGGATCTCATCAGATTGTCCAGGTGTTGCTCCTGTTGCGTCTCTACAACCTGAAGATTTCCTGTTCTGTCCTCACTATCATATGACAAGTGAAGACTATCTATCTCTCCGCAAAAATTAAAAATGAAAAGCCACAGAGACAATAAGTCGAGATGATGCCTATCACGGCCCCTGCGGATGGTCGGGGGAAGCCGCGCATGTTGCCGCTTATTGGCGTCGTGGGAGAGGAAGAGGATGAGATGATGAAGAACAGACGGAAAGAATTGAGAGGAGCAAAATGGAAATGAGAGCACAGCCAATCTATATCGTCGGTGACACTGTTAGATGGTTAGCAATTTCCTCTCCAATAAATCAACCGTTGGGTCTTTTTTTTTTTTTTTTATCAACCTAACCTGCCTCTATCACACCGCACAGGCGCACTGACAAACACACGAGAGCAGGTTGTAGATAAAGTGCAGGTGTAAATCTGAATCGAAGGCCAATCCTCCATTTCCGTTTATTATTGGTTTCCTCCTCTCCATCTCTTCCTGGCTTGTTCTCCGCCTCTTGTCCATTTCCTCTTCCTGAACTCCTCTGCTCTTGGGTTTTCCATCACCATTTCCTTCCCCTGTTTTTTTTTCCCAAGCACCTATTTTGTTGTTCAACTACTATAGTGAGAACCCACCAGGCATGGCGGTGAGGTTGGCTATACATGCAGTGTACAGTATAATGCACATGGGCTATACCGTCTTTGTGGCTGGTGGACATATTGAGCAGTTAGTCACGGCCCTCTATTTGCTCCAATCCAATATGTCGCTTGGGTGAGCAAAGATAATGTGATGGAAAGCATACATTTGGTCGTATTAAAAAAAAAAAAAAAAAAAAAAAAAATTGGCACATTCGGAACTGACGTTCCTCTATATTCCAATTTGCATACAGCGATGGTGACAAGGGTGAAAATTGTGATTGTATGGATTTACGATGAAATCGCTCACCAACTGTGCATACATGGAGGAGCCTGTTTCTATGGGAATTTTGTAGGCTTTCGCACAAAAAGCATCGCAACATTGCAAGCAAGTTAAAATTGGTTGTTAATGTTTATGGTGTGATTCTAAGACCTACACAAGCGTAACTGTTAGAGGAATCTATGAGCAAAATTGTATCATGTTTAAAGTTTCATTTAATTTGGGCACATCTAAACGGTTGGGTGCGTATCCAGCACCCCCAAATGCCTGTGCACAAAGGCGCCGGCCACCTGGCCGGAGGGCTGTTGAAGTCCACAATTAGCACGTCAATGCAGGTGGGCAATCACAGGGGAGAGGGTGAAACTCGGTCACAAAAGGGGAATGAATAATTTGGGAACAGCGGTTGAACAACAAAAGACGAGTTGAGAACACCCGTCGCGCCCAGGCGACATTTGTCGTCCGCGAAGTCTGCAACATGTTGATACAGTGTAGACCAGACAGAAAGGCGCCAATGTACCGGTGGTTCAAAGCTTAAACTCACGTAACCAATCACTACCGAGGGGCCGGACCGGGGGTGCGGTATGCAAATGTCGGGGGCAGTGTTTTCCTTGTATGTTACAATAAAAGTCGGAATTGGCGGGAAGGGAGCTCGAGTGTGTGATCATCGGAGCAACTACCGTCGTTCGCTCTCAGAGATCCGCTCCCGCCGATATTGAAGACAATTTTCCTGTGTGCCGAGTCATTTCTTTAACTTTGTCCGAGAAAATCTCTGACAGTAACAAAATGTCATATTTCCTGAAAAAATACAGTCGGTAGCCACCAAACTACTACACTACTGTACATTACATCCACAATAATTCAAAAACATCAATGCCTTGGAGATATGAATTTAATTTCATAAACTTGCGCATAAACCAAAACATTCAAATCCTTCCCAATTTAAATGTATGGAAATGCAATTAATTCATTTTACACTCTCCCAAAAATAATGTGTTTATTTTCAAAAAAAAAAGCACCGTATTATAATGTACTTCATAAAAACATACAGTAATAGCTTAATTAAATGAAATATAAACAAGTGAATGCAAGACTTGGCAACTGGGGTGTCAATATGCACTTATGCAGACAAGTGAAAAGAACACAACTACTCTAAGTGAAAAAGTAAGTTGCAGTATTTTTAGTCATTTTATGCAAAAGATAAATATATGTCCGTGAGTATTTTTAGATTATCTGTCAACATGTGTTGCTGCATGGTTATGTTCAAACCGAAAACACCACCACATACATTTGTTAGCCAGTCTACGATGTTTCCCACTCTATGTTAGCATTAAGATAGCAGACTGAAAGTGAAAAAGTATGTGTTTGTTATGAATGCATAACGTAATTCAGCTTGATGTCTGCTCTTTGAAAAATTGCTCACACTCTGCCAAACTGCTTGTCATGTTGAGTGGAATTCACTGGCACCATAAAGCTATTTTTTCCCTTTAATTTTTGCTAGCAAGTCCCAGCAAAATAATCATCCAAATGACGGCGTGCCTTTAGAAAACTCCTAAATTGAGTCACTCGTATCACACGGCACCAGTGTGTTGTTATTAAATGAATACATCTCTGACCGTGTCAATCCCAACTAAATATTATAACTTTTGTGAAAGCACACATTTCTATTGGACAGTGCCTAATGTCCCAACTGGTGCGAACAATGTTTTATTCATGCTCAATTTTGTAGAACAAATTCCTAGTATATTCTTGTGAGAACACACCGAAAGAAATCAGCATATGCCAGCTCTGGATAGAGGAATACCGTTGGAACAAATGTTGAAACGGTCGGCAGGAAACAGCCACCTCATTTACATAATAATGAGCCGTCCTCTGAACTAGACAGATAACATTGCTCCGTGCATGTAGCTGCCTTAACAAACATATATATGTAGAGCAAGTTGCGGGGACCTTGAGAATTATCACACTGCTGCCGTTACACACGTCAAGGCGTGAACGGACCAGAGAAGGAAAATAGTCATCTGTTGGTTAGTAGGCAAGACCTCCTCTTTTGTCAGATAATACCAGAGATGCATGGTTGTTGACAACCACAATATATCATCTAATTTTAAAGTTGCTTCTGATAGACAGAACATCCGTCAAAATGTATAACCCCCCCACAGGATATAAAAGTTATTATTGAGAATTTGACCTGTTCTAGGAATACATTTCTGACTTTCCATACATATCTCTGAGTAAATACGCTGTAGAATACAGAAGCAAGAGACATTTTAATGCAGAAAAATCTACAAATCTTGTATTTCTTGAGTGTTACGGCACCTAAATATAATAAGTTTGTAATACGCACGCCGCAAATCACATATATAGTCCAATAGACGTTATTTCGTCGGCTGGTGTTGTACTGTATGTCTGGTGAGGCTGGCAGTTGGAAGAGCTCATGGCAGGAGTTAGCATCAGTTGCTAGTTTCCGTGGCTATTTTGAGTAGCAATAAGATAAGAAAACCTTTATTTATCTCACAATGGAGAAATTCGCAATGCAAGAAGGGGTAAGTTTCCCAAGCAAAGTATTAAAAGGTAGCTAATTGGAGACCATGTTGTGATGGATAGAAGAGCATGTAGCTTCGATAAGCAAGTATCCTAGCAGACATGTAAAACGTTCGTTCATGACGCGGATATCAAACCTATTTTTTTGGAATGGGAAAAATTTCTGCCATAAAAATTTGTAACATGGTACAGTATATCAAACTGAAGTTAAAGTACACCTTTTTCACAACTGCTTGGACACATCGATATAACGTGACCCATTTTCTACATTTTCTTTGTACCTATGTTTTAGTACGCCGGTGTACGTTGAAATGACTCTAAGAAGACTTGTGAGATTATTTTTAGGCACAATGACGCATACGTACATTTTCTTCAAGTTTGGCAGCTTCTTGAACATCCCGGTCGCCTCCAATAGGGCAATCTCATTGTCGTTGAGCCGCCTGCACAGTGAAAAGGACACATTTAGATGGTCAGATGGGCAGTTCTGTCACATACTCAACCTTTCAAAGTTAACGCAAACAAATCTTTATCCATCCATCCATTTTCTAACTTGCTTATCCTCACAAAGGTCACGGGCATGTTGGAGCCTATGCCAGCTGTCTTCGGGCAGTAGGCGTGGTACACGCTGAACTGGTTGCTAGCCCATTGCAGGGCACGCATTCGTGCTCAGAATCACAAGGAGGGGCAATTTAGAGTGTTCCATTAACCTACCACGCATGTTTTTTGGAATGTGGGTGGAAACTGGAGTACCAGGACAAAACCCACGCAAGAATGGGGAGAACATGCAAACTTCACATTGGAAAGCTGAAGCCGAAATCAAACCCTGCTCCTCTGCACTAACTGTCAAACGTGCTAACAAATTGACCACCGTGCCGCCCTACAAGGTCTTTAGTAACTCTTCAAATGTTAACAAGACAAGAGAAGCGATGTTACTAATTTAAAGCAGAGGGCGAAAAAATACGAGGAGAAAACAATGAATCACTTCTATGGGGTCATCAATACCCACAATGTCCAAAGCCCAGGCAAAACGAAACATCTGTTTTATTGAGGCTATTTTTACTCAAAGGCTATTAAAAGAATCAACGTTGCGCATGCTTGTCTGTTCAGTTTGCCAGTTGAACATAACTGAGGTCATAATTTGCTGCATATAGGTATGTAAGACACCTTAATCACACTATAAATTAGGTGAGTGCATTCAAAGAGAAAATATTCTCACCAATAAATTCTTTACAGTTATGGCAGGTGGGAAGAAGAATCGTCAATAATACATTAATGAGGCAGGTTATAAAAGCCATTAGTTTTTGTGGATGCTTTTAAGGGTGGGAAGTCATGTTATGGAAAAGAATGTGTTTTGGACACATGGATTAGGTACGCGTGTCAAATTCTGAGATGAGTCGATTTTGAGGAGGCAGCATTATTGGACAGATGGTTTGAAGACGATTCCAGTGTCATTTTTCTGTGGTAAATATTACCGGTACTTTAGAAATAAATCTTTCCAACTGTTGAAAATGCACTTTTTTGGAGGACCTACTGAACACAGAAGAAGACAGTAAAATTATTATTTTTTTTGTTTTTGTTTTTTTTTTTTTTTTTTGTTTTGGTAAATTACTTCCATGGACAAATCTGAAATTTTGGTTCTCTCTTTCCTGGGATCTGGAGTTTTGTTGTCGCTTCGTTTCTCTCCCTATTGCCCACATCAACCAAGATTGAGCAACTGTTTCTCCCTCCAAAGTCCACCTCTATTTATGCTGATCATTTATATATTCATGTATGTATGACTTTTACATTGTTTCCTGTACTTGGCCAATTTCTTTTTTCAAATGTATGAAAAAAAATGTCCTCTGCTTGAAATTATTCATCAAGTTATTTGTGAAGAGCTACTTGATTCGGAATGATAGAGACAGCATTGCCGTGAAGGTTCTGTGTATTCAGCATTCATTTGTATTCTTGATCCAGCAGGGGGTTCCACTCCAAACTTTTTTGCCTTTGTCTGGTATCCTGCATTTTTTTTTTTCATGAATATTAGAAATTCTCTGCATCACCGTGCTTTGTGGCAACCAGTTGTTCCCTTTATGTGCACCTCTAAGGACTCGACTTCATCACATATTGCTTCGACGCCCTTACATTTCATGTCATTCTTTATGTTGAACAGCTTGGCTGAATACTGAGCAGGTCGGCGTCTTGGTCCTGTCTTATTATAATAATCCCCTATCAGCCTCCAGTAGAAGCTGAAGACAGAGCCACAATACTTTAAGCCTTCTCATAATGTAATCAGGATATCCCTGTTGCATATTGCTCTCTCTCTGTGCTACCCCATTTATCACTGCTAAAAAAGGATATCAGGGACTGTTCTGTATGCGAGTGTGAGAGATGCCGGATATCATGATGGCTCCTTTGGGGTCTTGGAGGCAGACGGAACACATCAATGAGAAGGTTTTTTTCTTTTTTAATGTGGAAGCTTTAAAAAAAAAAAAGGAATGAAAGGTAAAGATAGCGATATGGCAAGATTGGGGAAGTTTCGCGTTGATGTACTCCCACAGAGGGGTGTGCCTTTGTGAAAGTGTGCTGTGGATATTAAAAACCCAGTAAAGTGAATCCAGAAATTTGTTTCTAAATACAATGGAACCTCTCTTTAACGGACAAAAAAATACTGTCCAGTCCACGCAAGACGGCCCCTAGTACTGTGCCTTTCAAAGTCTGTTAGGTCCAGATTGGCCACACTTGACCAAAATGCCAGTAACGGCATCAACAGACTGGTCACGGCTTTTGTTGCTCTCTCGTCATAGATAACCAGACTAAGAGAAGACTAGAGCAGGCTAAAAAGCATGCCAATGTGGCGGCCATGTTGCCGTGGACGACTGTCACATCAAAGTTATTGGAACGTATGGATGTTAGCTAGGTTCTGTTTTACAATATACTGTATGTTTTTGAAGTAGGTTTGTTAATTTACATTATTGTTAGTTTTTATTTTATTTCTATTTATTTATTTTTGTATTTATATCTGTTAGTTTTAATTCGTATTTGGAGTGGGTTTCTTAGATTTTATTTATTTATTTTTTCAAAAATTGCTTCGTTTTAGTTTCGTTTTTCTTAGATTTAGTATTAGTTTTATTCCATCTACATCATTTTCCGAACTGCTAAGAGTCGCGGGTGCCCTCGAGCCTATCCCAACTGTCTTCGAGTAGTAGCCCTGAAATGATTGCCAGCCCATCACAAAGTATTCTTTTTTTTTTTTAAATACATGGAGTATTTTTGGAGAACAAAAAAAAAAAAATCGCTAAGTATTGTGCAATAAAGTAAAGTAAAATTCCCAAACGACTGTCCGACCTTTTTTCTACTATAGAGCCGAATAGCAACACCAAAATGAATATTTTTCTTATAAATCTGCAAAGCTCATTTATGAAATGAATTAACAAAGATGAAAATATTTGGACATTTTTGCTATAGTTACATTGGTCAACAAGTATTACATTTTTTTTAATCAGGGATGCAAGTAAACTTTTCTACATTAATTTGTTGTGCTAATTCAGAATCTGCCCTTGTTTTTTTTTCTTATGGCACATAAGGTTGTGATAGTAATAATAACAATAATAATCTCAGAATATATTAAGTAAACTTCATGAACTAAGGGTTAGGTTCAGCAATGCAAGACATTGTGTTGCAAACGTACAGTCAATGGTATTTTCATGTGACTTACAGATCGGTTGTGTGTTCCGGGATGTGTGAGGGAATGCGGGTCAGTTTCAGATTGGAGCAGTCCACCACAGTGCCCTCGCAGCGGCATTTCTCGGGACAAACCAGGTCCTGGAAACACTCACCGCTCAGACGGCTGCGGTAGTCCTCTTGACCTGTCGACAAGGGAGCGAGCAACAAAAAGTGACTTAGAAAATGCACCATCAGATGAATGACAGCTATAGTGGGCACGTGGTATTATTAACCAGCTTCATGGTCCTCTCCATTTCTTTACTTGGAATTTCTACTTTCATACGGAATTTCTACGTACTAATTAACAACTTGCACACTTTCATGTTACACTTTCTATCAGCTTGATAAAGTTTGCTCGACTTGGGTCATGAGTGGAATAATTTAATTTTAATAAAGTCTCTGGGCTACCACAAACCCTGCCAGTTGTTATAAGGAACAAAGTAAGGAAAACAGTTGAAGAGATACTTTTTTTTTTTTTTTTTAAGAACACAGAAAGCTCGTTAGTTGTTACTTTAATGGGAACAGAAGAAGGTTCAGAGGTTTTAAAAGGGGCACTGGGATGAGCCATGCTAGCCACTGAAGCGCTGCTGTGCAACCATTTTGTAGCTGGAGCAGGTGTGTGGCAGAGCTCAAATCTCAGCAGACATGTGGCGCAATAATTAAAAGTACAAAGTGGCAATTAACGATACTCTCGCTACTATCTACCTCTTTTTTCTTTGTGAAAGTTCCAATCTTCGGTCGGTTCCATTTATTTTGCCATGACTTTATTTAATAATACGCAGTGAAGTCATTTAAAGAGAACAAATTATTAAATGACTTGAATTTATTAAATTCTTCAGCTGTTTGGCTTTCAATAATTAAAAAAAAAATGCTTCCCAAATTTAAACAACAATGAAAGTTTAAAACACTGAGAATTCCCAGCAGCTTTTTCACTGCACGGCACTGGCTCTACTTCTTGGATTCCTTAAATGGGAAACTGCGAAATCCACACTACATTGAGTACATCAGTCAAAACGTGACAAACTGACATCAAATAACGAACAAATAAACTACCGGTAGTTTTTCCATTCGAGACGAGGAAGGAAAACGGGCTGCAGCAAAGTAGACATTGAAACCCCTATCACACTGAGGGGCAAAAATTTGCGACTTGTGGCGAAGTTTAGTGAATGGCCGTTCACGGCCGTTTGCCAAACATTCGCCAACTGTGTTTGTTGCAAAGAAATTCTGAACATGTTTAAAAAATCCCTGACAACAAAAATGTAAAGGTGAACATCTGCAAATGAGAGCGTAACATTTGCTACCTTTGCAAATATTTTCAAATGTTTGCTGCTCAGTGGGATAGAGGCTTACGAGGCATAGCGCGTAAGCTTAATGTGACCGTGTATGTATTTTCTGTCTGTCTATTTTTCAGTTCAAGGACCAGTGATTGAACAGCAGTGCTTTACATCATCCATTTGGTATTGATGTTAGCTCGGGAACAGAATGACTGACTTCACGGCAAAATTAATCTTAAATTGTGAATTAGGATTGTATTACCTAATTCAAGCAAATTGATCTAACAGGAACATAAATCCTATTAAAAGATTATCACAATTATGTATTCATATTAAGTACATCTAGTGTATATTAAGACAAATACAGCTATTTAGAAAAAAAACACTCTCAATATGTATTAAACTCTGCTTGAGTCGTTTGATAATATAATCAAACTTACGAATAAAACCAGGAAGATAATTCCTCATTAAAAGTTGTCATAACTGGAAAGAACATATTTTCTAAATTTGACACAGCACAGATAAGAGTGTTGTTCGCGACTCTGCCATATTTGAATGATTAAAAGGCTTCAACATTGTGAAAAATCAAGCTGTTCCCTCTGTTCTCAACACTGTCACCACCCTGCCCGACTGACAATCAAATATCGCTTCTGTGACCCGCATCTTTCACATGTCTACACATTTTGTAATGACATGTTGGAGCCATGTGGTTACGCTGCGACAACAAGGCACTCTAAAGCAGCCATGGCAGCACACAGCCCCGGTCCATATGCTGGCTGTTATGTAGGACTCTAAGCCTTTGATCTTGCACATTCTTTGTGCTCGCTTACTACGGTCAACAACGAGATGCTCTAAAGCGGCCATTCCAGTGGACTATCTGAAGGTAAGATGCATTTTCGGGGTGTAATCACATCACAATTTCATAGGATAACTGCTGATGTGAATAAAGAATGGTAGAAGAAATATCTTGTCATATTTTGCCTTGATATGAGATATTTAATCTTGGTTGCTAAATAATGTCTGGTTTTGCTGATATAAGGCATCAAGATCAGGTAGTGTATGGAGCCGAGTAGGTACCATGCGGTGCAAACGGGGCATTCATGTCACAGTCATATATATATACATGACATGTTTTATTGCAACATTGAGATTAAGAATCCGAGTCACGAATCAAGAATCCGAGTCACGTGATTGGCCGGTAGACGCAGGCGAGCATGTGCCAGGCGGTCCCTGGCGCTTGACGGAACCATGTGATGCCACAGCAGGCGGGGCCACATGGTTAGATCAAGCACAAGAGACAGCTGCACGAGCCAATCAGAGCGCAGGTCCACACAGGAGGCAGAGATGGGGTGGGGAGGGCGGCAAAAGGGGCAAGGGTGCAAACAGAGAGTGGGAAGAGAGAATAGTGGTAGGGTCCAGAAATGTCCAGGGAGGAAGAGGATGTGCAAGGAGAAGACAGCCAGAACCAGTTTGAGGAGTTATTATAGGCTCCTGCATTATTACTTTAAATAGGTGTACCACCGAAAAAAAAACAAATCTTGGCTCTCCAAGCATCGCTACCATGACCAAAATGCAGTTGTGTAGCAGTAGTGTAGCGGTTTTCATTAAAAACAATACAGAGGTTTTTGTCCTAAAAAATATTGAATATTATTAAAAGCCACAACACTGAATGTTGCGAGAAAAAGACCATAACACTCAGCATTGAGGTTGAATCATCTATCGACAGACACTATACTTAGGTAAAAGTAAAAAATAAATAAATATGGAATCTAATATGTGCATACGTCCATCCATCCATCCATCCATCCATAGCGCCGCTAACGTTGCAAAAACAAATAAAAACAGCTATAAACATTTACCTTACTTGCATGTTTTTCTGAGAGAATTAGAATTTTTTTAATGGAAGAAGCTGATGGGATTGTAGGCTGGCATAACAAATTCGGCCAAATCATTCTGACAACCAGCAACATCAAACGGTTCTTTTAAATACTTTTCCGTCTCCTAAGGCCCCAATAATTCAATTTTAAGATCTAAACAGCGGTTGAATTGACCTTTCCTTATTTATGCCTTTCTTAAGTTGTGGTGTCAATCTGTGAAGGTTGATAAAAAACCCCCCAAAAAAACAAAACAAAAAAAAAAAAAGATTTTGACTAAGCAGTTGAAAGAGCAGATGGTTTTTGAATGTAAGGAGTAAAAGTCCAAACTCATCAGAGAAATACTCAAGTAAAGCACAGAAACCGGCAAAATATACTTGACGACAAAATACAAAAAAAACCTCTGCAAAATCTATTAACTACGATCACAAAGTATTTGTACGCTTTTGCTCTTGATGTTGTTATTGTGTGCCCTTACCTGTGCAACGAAACTTCTTGCCTTTGACTTGGCTGATGCGCTTGTTGGCCAGCCTTCTGGGGTGGCTGCAGCGCGCCCCACTGGTCTCAATGGGGTTGTCGAACAGAAAGTCGGCCAGCCACTTCAGGTGACAGTCGCACATAAAGGGATTCTGGGCCAGATGACTGTGGTGAAGAGAACACATTTGTCACCATGTGCTTTCTTTGTACTGTTGCCTGGTGACTCTGCTTCAGTCAACCGCCAGGACTTCAAGAGTCAATGCCAATTTGTGAGGAACTGCCAAACATTGTAATAAAACACAAATTCATGTGTTTGGGCTCATTTACTTGGACAGTTCATTTGGTATATCTGAGAATTTGCACAACAGCTGTTTAGGCTAGATGTAGATGCCCTATACTGGTTCATATTCCATTTATCCAATAGGTATTTTCCTGCCGTTCTTGTTGGCCCCTGCAAATCAAAGTCTGTCAACCTTCCCTGCGGTGTTCCTCAAGGGTCAATCTTAAAGGCCATGCTTTTTTGCGCTAAACAAGCTTCCTCTCAGAGATGTCAACAGCAATTTTAGAATAACAAATTCAACCTCGTTGAAAAGTAACTAAAATGCACTGATTAACTTAGCTGATAAATGGAAATATGAAAACATTACAAGAGTACAAAGCTGTGTACTTTTTCGAAAGTGAAGGACATCCAAATTTACGTGCATTTTCCTGAAACTAAAATAGCGTCCGGCTGCAACTGTAAAGTCATCTGTGAATTCATTATCATTATTTGCATAATTTTATGAATGGAAATTAACTGAAAAACAATCCATGCCTGCCGTCCTACTTGGTAGGGACTGAACCACTGACCAGCATTTCAGGCCTTGCACGTTAATTGGATAATCTTACGTCATTCATTGTTAACAGCTTAACTGATTGATGCCTTCCCAGCCAATTTCAGACTTATTCACTTGTCCCTGTCACACAAACTTCACCCAGGTGCGCTTTCACATAGCCGGTGCTGCTTCACAAAGTCAAGATAATGAGATGCATGGCCATATTTTTGATGAGCCTTTATAGATTTAATGTTTTCAAGCTTTTAAAAAAAGTTCTTCTGGAGTTTAATTTTAGTTTGAGAATATTCTTCGTGCCCAAATATATGATGTCCACTCCTTATAAAAAATAGTTTTCTTTTTTCTTTTTTTTTTTTTTTTAACTAAGAGTGTGTAAGTACTTACAGAGTTTTGATGGAGCGCAGTGGTGTGAAAAGTCCCTTGCTGATGGTTTGTAACTTGTTGTCGTATAGTGAAAGCAGGTTGAGATTGTGCAAGTCCTGGAAGGTGTTGACGCGAAGACAGTTGATCTTGTTGGCATTCAGGAGGCTGAAACAAGCAAAGATTTAAGAAATTTCACATTTACCTGCATGCTCGGTGAGAATCGTCATCTTTAATGGCAGGAATGCATTGTTAGGGTGTTAAAGCAAGGTAAAAGATGGAATAACGGGGAATATAACCTTTATCTCTACCCCAGTGATCACAAGCAAATGTGCAGAAAAATTACCGTCTGGAATTTCGCTCATCCTCGTTGTCTTTGCTTGACTTCACTTTATGGGGGAAAAGGCCCAGAACATTAAGAGTTTCTGCCGGTGGACTGCAGCGTTTGCAAGGACCATATGTCACACTTATACTGAATTCTTTATTTATTTTGACCACATCCTGCAACGGTGCCGCAGTTTTGAATGTCACCCCCACAAGAATTCATGAGAAGCGTGTTATTTCATCAAATTGCATCATTAGTATTGTTCATTGTTGACACACACCACGGAGGACAGATATAAAGACATTTTCAATCAATGCTGTTTTTTTTTGTTTTTTTTTTGGTCATGATCTGTCATCTGTTTTGGCTCATAATCTTTCTTATTCATGATGGTGACGCCTGTATACAGAGTAGAGTACTTACAGTAGCTGCAAGGACACCAGGCCGTCAAATAATCCTTTCGGCAGCTCAGTGATCTTGTTGCCATACAACACCCTGCATGGGACAGTCATCAGTGACATCATTTAGCTTATGATGTGGAAAAACATTCATTGTTTGTCTGAATGGTGCTACTAGAACAAAACGATAAGAGTGTCCTCGTGAGAAAACCAATTTACTACATACTGTCGTATGAATTAAGTCAATTGAGTTTTATTTTATGAGGTGAACATGTACACCATGTGGTTGGATGGTTTCTGCATTCACTTTTCGAAAACAATACATTGGCCGACGCTGACCCAGCCACATGTTAGTAAGAGTTGTAATTAGAAATGTCATATTTTGATAGTGTTTTTTTTTATACCTTTGTGAATTGCAGCAGCTGCTTCATTTAGAATAGTTTGCTCAAAAACAAAAGCAAAATGTGGAGATGTGAAGCGGACTGGGGGTATTTCCATACCTTTGAGACCTCACTTATAGGCCATGTGCTGCTTCTGTTTTTTTTATTTTATTTTATTGTTTTTTTTCATTGACCACCTGCCAGTCGGTCTGGATCGAATCATTTGCATGCAGGAAGGTTAAAAAAAATTATACAGTCTGCCCTTATTTGCAAAAATAATCAAGTGCACAATTAACTGTCTTCAAGTCCCCATTTCAGCTATTCTCTAGCAGAACACAACATTTATCCCACCACAGAGTCAACAAAAAAGAGCTTTGTTGTGATTGATACTGTCAAAACGTTCATCGCTACATTTAGAGCACTATAGTGTAGATAAGGCTTGCAATTAGAAGTGTTGCTAATGTTATGGCCACATCATTTAGCCACACTAAAGGGTCAAGATGTTCGAAACAGCTGTGGGATGATGCTACAACAGTACAGCACACAGTGTTCACCGTTTTGTTGTATTAGTAATGACACCCGATGGACCTTTTTATCACAATCTGAATGCATACACAACAAAACCAATTACAATTAAGAGAAGCAGATTTTAAGACCTGGTTCATCTCAAATCTATTTCATATTTTCTCACTGCGGCCATTGTTTTATCTCGTTCGATGATCCAAATCTGCGCTTGATGTGGCGTGCTCTATCCCTGCTGCACCCGCGACCCACCATTGACTCCACTCGAGTGATTTCAATTTTTGCCCCATCACGCCTCAGCTTGCCTGCACTGACAGAGGCCACGTCTTAATGTCTCCGTGTGTGTGTGGGTGTGTGTGTGTGTGTGTGTGTGCGTGTGAGTGTCCCAAGTAACACCCTGCAGAGCCTTCACCTTGTCCGCCCTTCCTTGTCCGTCTGTCTGTCTCGTTTTCACGTTGCGGATTGATTCAAATTAAACTGTCCTTCATGTTCTTATCACACTCGGCCCTCTTAGGGACACGCAAACAACACACACACTGGGTGATTACACGCACAAATTGGGCCACACAAATCAATGTGTGTGTGTGTGTGTGTGTGTGTGTGTGTGTGTCTTCCCCTTCGGGTGTCAGACACAATATTTGGATTTGTTAAATGAGTGGAAATGCAATTACTTCACCAAGTGATGGAATGCACATTCGATACCTGGGTCGACTTAATCTGCCTCTTATTACCAATACTACCACGTCGTATGATAGAAACCATTTGACTAAAACAACCAAAAAAAAAAAAAAAACACTGAATCAATCAACATTTATCAATGTAACAAAATATGTAAAAAAACAAAACAAAACAAAAAATGAACTATAATAACGTGACAAGAAAAATCCACAATCAACTAAGGGCCTATAGATGGCAAAAGAAAGTTTTTTTGTTTTTTTTAACCCTTTCATGCACCCTGTAACCTGATAACGTCCACTGTAGTAACCGCTGTCCTTGAAAGGGTTAATACTAAACGAGGCTATGGCCGGACTAAGTGAAGCTTTTGTCCTCACCTCACCATATCTCCTTGCCACCAAGATGTCACACGCAAGTATATGCATATGTGCAGAATGCTACAGTTGTGTTTTGCTAGCCAAACTTGCCTCGCACTTACCACCCAATCAAGAGGACGGATTCATGCTGAAGTCATTGTAGACCAGGTAGCTGGCCCTCTGGGGAAAATTTGTTTGATTGAACATACAGTCCCATTGCGAACATAGTTTAAGTTACACGGGCGACTATTAATTGTCAACGTGCAGGGTAGAGTAGATTGACATGGCAACACAAAGGCTGGAATCTGATTGGACAAAAAAATATCTACGATCCACATCCATGAACTGAAAGCAGCAGAGCCGAGAAAAACACAACAAAACGAAGAGTGCAGCGTTTTAGGAATACATGATTACAATTTCATGAACCAATATTAGAATTTATGATAAAGATCAGAACTCTTGATACTGTTTAGCATTGAAGGCCTTGGGCGGCTCTGACTTCGCCAATTGCGTTCATGTGCGTGCCAGATACTTACAGGGAGGTGAGCGAGCGGAGGCCGCTGAAGGCATCGGAGGCAATGTCAGAAATCTGGTTCTTACTCAAGTCTCTGTGGGAGCAGAAGAGAGAGGGGGAAGTTAGTGCATTAGTGATACAGATGTCCTCGAACTGTCGGCGACAGTATACGTCAGCAGAGGTCAAGGGAAGGTGCCTTGGTAAGGAGAAAACGAGGAAGTCGATGTAAGTAAATGAGGTGGTGGATGATGGACAGGCAGATGGGATGAAATGCGGCGGACGTGAGGCAAAGAGCAAAAAAGAGCGAGGGGAAAAGCCCACGTGGCGGCATGTTAAGTGCACGTCGTTCACATCCGTGAAGCCAGATTTATTATGGAACGCTCCCGATGCTGGAGGATGATTGAGCGGCTGAGTGATGACCTCACGTCCTTGCAAATGTCAGTTGTGATGCTATCGGTGGACATTAGCATGAGAAGGAAGGGGACCATATGTGGGCAAAAGTCTTGGGACAGGAAGTGACAATGGTAGCACTTCTGGTGGTTAGGACTGCATCTTTTTATAATAAATCATGTAATGAGAAACACGATTCAAAATTCAATACAAATGAATTAAACTATTTTTAATTTGAGGAAAAACATGCTTCAAGAGTACAGGTACCTTGAATCTACAGATTTTTTTTTCAACTAAATTGTGATATTGTCTTATATTGAGTCAACTTTTTAAATTTAGGATGTTCATCACAACAGACAACTCAACATGTCAGATCATCTGAATTGAAATGCATTTTGAATTTTGTTACAGTTATGTGTAGATGTTTATATGGTGTTACGTACTGATGCAATCCATGACGATTGGAATCTATTCATGCATGTTGTGAGAAGAATTTCAACCAAATTTTCACAATCCAGTATGGACGGACTTACATCCTCTTGAGCTTTTTGTAGGAAGAAAAAGCTCCGGGTGGGACATTTTTGATCAAGTTCTGCTCCAGACGACTGCAAAGGCACAAATAAGAGAGACAACATTCGGTTAGATTTTAGCAGAGAATAAAGAATATATTCCTGTGATAATTTCATATCTGTCTACATGCACCGCCGTCCTGTTTGCGTTCAAACACCCATTGTTTTAAGCAGTATAACACCACCACCTCGTAGATGCTATTTGTTAGCCTATGGTGTATCACATTATGCGTTAGCATTAAGCTAGCTAACATTTTAAACAGGTACATTTATATGGTTTGTTTTAAATAGAGCATGTAGATTCTCTTTTATTTGAAGTTTGTTTTGACAGTAACCTTTGGGGAGTAGCATTAAACAGCTGAAAATTTCATTTGGTACACCTGCACAACCTAATGACGTTTAATTCATAAATTGCACCAAAAGTAGTAGATAAGGCTGTTTTTCTTATGTTTATTGATAGTGGTTGCAGTTTGCAGTGGTGTGGCCTGCACTGAATCAACTCAGTAAATCGATCATGAAAAACAGTTAGGCAAACTGGTTTATTCATGGTTTCTTTGGCTTACCTCCACATTTCAAAAACATGCATTTTAGAAGTCTCTAATAGCCCCTCAGTGTGATTGCAACTGTTGGGTCAACATGAGCCCTGCAATTGGCTTGCAACCAGTCCAGGGTGGACCCATGTCTCATCTCACAATCGGCTGGGAAAGGCGCCACCCCAACGGGGAAGAGGAAGAGTGGATGGTTCATTTAATGCGGTAGCAGTCATCCAAACCCGGGAAGCAGACCATCATGTGCACAGTAGTTTGTGGATGGCAAGCCTCGACGATAATGACGCAGACGTTGGCACGCTGGATAATTCATGTGTCACTGGCAGCCCGACGCTGCTAATATTCGTTTTCCAAATATACTTTGTGCAAAAACAAAGCATTTCGCACGCTACTTTCTCAAGCCAAGAGCCAAATGGGAATGTACTACATCTCCCCCTCGAGCACCCCTACCCCACTCCTCTCCCTCTCCACATGACTGATTACACTGGCAGCATTACCGCATCAGTTGGTTTGGAAAAATACACTGTGGTCGAGAAGCATCCAGCTCATGTATTCTTAATGCCTGCTTGTTTGGAGGACATGAAGCTGGAGGATGAAGGAGGAAAACCTGTGGATGTGTGAAGAGAGGAGCCAAGGCTAGGACCAGGGTCAGCCGTCACCATGACGGATGGGATCTCACCACACCCTCTTATCCTCCTCCTCTTTAACCCGCACTCTGTTCCGTTCTTGACCTCTGTGCCTTTCGCATCCATCCATCCGTGCGGACGTGTTTGCCATTACGGTTGAAGGTAAAGAACAGATGTATTGCCTCGTTGTTTCATTTGACAAGAAAAATATTAATGACTAAATTGCCCAGGGTGTTCGACAAAGAGAAGTCTTTTAGTTGTGATGAACATGTGTACAACAGCAGATATGCTATTGAAGACAGATTTACTTATCAGGCTGGAAAAAAAAACCTATAAAAAATTATACTCTGAAGTATGGTGCCCAGGCAACATGGAAAAGATAAAATCTTGATTTGTACTCAAAGAGAATTTCATATCCAGCCAAGTGCCTCTGTGTCTGCTGATGTTTAGTTGATGCTGTGTACCATTTGAAATTCACATTTCGGTAAATGTAAAGCACTGGGATTAAGCACGCCTGCCGCCATCCCAAGTACCTCTGATTAACCTCAGATAAATTGCAGCTGTTCTTGTAGGTGTTCCTTGACATTTGTTTTGGTTTTCTAGCAATGAACGTGTCATGAATTGTGTTTTTTCCTCCTAGATATTGTATATATTTATCGTAAACAATTTAAAATGAAGTGGGGGGTTTTCTGTAATTGATTTTGTTGACAAATGTTTTTGGGCGTATGCTGGCTGAAAGCATTTTATGTTCGTGGACTGGGTTTCCGTCAAAAAATAGCTTAAATTTATGTCCAAAACATATTTTGCGGTACTTTAAAATCCCAGAATTCCCTTGTTTGTTTCTTGGTCAGTGTTCCACTCTCCACATATGTCCACCTTAATAAAGTATTGGAAGCCTGTATCTGACTGAACGACGAAGGATTGCGAGTGTGTCCGCACGTCGTGAATGTTGTCAGGGTTCGGTCAATGTGGCAAACAGTCGCATAGACGTTCGCCAGGCATTACCAAACAGTTTTTAATGGACGCGAACAGTTTATCTCATGGCCATCCAATTTTGAACATTTTTAACCCTTTCTGGGACAGCGGTTACGATGGTGGACAGCTGGGCAGGTTATCAGGTCACAGGTTATCATTATTGGTGCATGCAAGGGTTAAATTTCTTTGCAAGAAGAAAACCTGTTTTGAGACCATTAAAATTGTTGGCGGATGTCTTTGCGACTTTAAACAAATCTTAATGGGGGGAAAAAAAACCAACATACGCTGCGTGCACACCCTCTTGCAAACCTTCGCCGCTCGGTCAGATACGAGCTGTAACCATCACGGTCGACCTAATTCATACAAGGGCGTTGCCGTCAATAAAGGAAATTCGGATATTGATAAGGGCAATGCACAAGCGCTAGTTATTAAACAAAATTCTCTTTTGCTGAAGGCGACACAAGGTTGAAACAAAGGCACTTAAAGGCTGAACAAAATAGGATGTATTACACGAAAGTCACTTTACAGGCACAATGAAAAAAAAATCTATACGGCTGAGGTGACGATTAGGTGATGAGTGAAACACGAAGAACATCGATTTGCTTGTGCACACACTTGCGGTACGCGCACATTTGGCAGTAAGCCATACGGCCAGCAGGCAGAAATTTGACATTGACTCAAGTGATGCATTGGGAAAGATATGCAAGTCATCTAAAAGGTAGAAAGAAACATTTGGCTTATGCTAAATGGACACAACATTGGCTACGTTGATAAAAAGGGTCAAACATTTCCAGTGAAGGTTTGGAAATCTATGATTTTAGAAAGGAAGTTGATATGAGGAATTTTCAAACAATTTTGGAACAAAAACTTTTGCTGCGATTGTAGGGGGGAATTTGCACTAAATCTCATCGTCTCAGTCATAATAATGCAACAATATTTTCCCCATAACCACTGTTATAGTGAGGTTTTTTTTTTAACAATTCCCACAATTATAAATATAGCTTCCTGTGAATTTGGATCAAAGCTATAAATTCACCCTTTTTTTTTTTTTTGCATTGCTTGGTTCGACAAGGGCGGCCTGGTCGTCGAGTGGTTAGCATGTCGACCTCAAAAACATGCATTGCAGGCTGATTGAACACTATAAATTTGTCCCGGGGTGTGAGCGTGAATGGTTGTTCGTCTCTGTGCCCTGCGATTGGCTGGCAACCAGTTCAGGGTGTCCCCCACCTACTGCCCGAAGACCGCTGGGATAGGTTCCAGCATGCCCCGCGACCCTTGTGAGAAAAAAGCGGTCCAGAAAATGGATGGCGAGACGGATTTTCGACAAGTCCATGCAAGGTCTGTCACCTTGTACTGATCCCTTCCCTCTGCCTCGATTAATTTCCTTTTCAAAGTGTGTGTGTTATTTTTTTCATGTATTTATTTTTTAATCCTCAGAACTTTGCATCTATAAATTAGATCGAAATTGGAAAAAAAAAATTCTGCCTTTGGAAATTAATGCTAAACTTTGATTGACCGTTATTCATTTATCAATACATTGATTATTTTAGTTTGCAGACAATAAAAACCGAGCTTTATGTATTATTTACTTTTTTTAAGCAGCTTTGATGTTGGACTTGTCAGGTGTTTGGAACAGATACAAACCACACGAGGACAACGGGTGTTTCTGTGTTGCATTGAGCGACTGAACAAAATGCAGTCGAATAAAAGTTTAACTTTCACTTCAACTTCATAAAAGCTTTTTTTTTCCTTGAATAAAGTTCAAATTGAGTTGAAAACACCTCCCAGCAGACTTACAAACACACCCACCCACCCACACACGCACTATATCAGGACTATTAGCTAAATGTCCCCTGAAGTGAACAGCAGCCTTACATCTCTATGATGCCCTCTGGGAGGTTGGCGGGTATTTCGGTTAGGCTTTTGCGGCGGCAGTCCACGATGTTGTTGTTGCATGTGCAGCTGGCCGGGCACACTGCCACCAGGGGTGCACACGTCCTCGGCTCGATATGGGTGGGGCCTGTGGACGAATAGACACATTGGATACACACATACAATCACATGAAGAAATTGAAATGCAAATAAGTAAAGCAGTTGCAAGATGTAGCACTCCGACCAGTAAAATGCAATTGCGATATGGCAGTACTGATGTTTTTTTTTCTCCCATGTGACCCAATTTGGATACGAACATAACATTTTTGGTGTTAGTAAATTTTAAAAAAGTTGGAAGAAAAGGAAATGAAAGGGAGAGGGAAAAAGGAAAAGATGAAACAATAACAAAAAAAAAAAGAACAATGATAAATGCAGAGAGGTCCGACAGAAGAACACCCAGCACAAAGAGTCTTGATCGGGGCTGTGTAAGCAGAAGCAATGAGGCTAAAGGCTAATAAAGAGAACGCCGCCTGACAGTCTATTAGCGGCGAGCTGAATCAGACGTCTTTAAACAGCGATAAGAAAAGCCTTTCTTCTGTGAGCCTTTTGGCTGAACACAATCTTATCTGCATACTGTTACATGAGAAGAGACACCTGAATGTTGAGCTGTCCGAGCTCTGCAAGATTGGAATGGCTTGTCATAAGGAAACAAGGACGTGTGCATGTGCTGTTCAAGTCAAGAGTGCAGATCAGCCCAACATGATGCATTTAAGTTTGAGTGTTTTGACTTTTTTGACCTTGGATACTTACCGCCCCCCCTCCCCCAAGAAAAAAACAATTAAAACAAGGAAAAACAAAAAAATCCAAAAATCAGAAAAAAAGTATTTTGAAAAACTGAAGATAAATTCCCCAAAACAGAGGACATAGTTGATGGCTGTTAAAGGAGCATATTACATTTCCTTTTCAGTTAAATGTTTTACAGTAATTGTTTTTGCGTTGTTTTAATATTTTTTATATATATATATAATAGTCATTTATTTTCCAAAGAAAAAAATACAAAACAAACAAAAAAAAAAATCAAAACTCTGAAAAAAAATTAATCTATTTTTCGGGATAGTAATTTAAATTCCCGCCCAACTTTCTGAAAATCAGGAAAAAAAATTAACATCTAAATAACTAAATAAATACATACAAATATATCAGAAAAACTCAAAATAAATTCCCCAAAACAGACGTCAATTTGCAGCAAAAATGTTGAAAAGGTTTTGGATTCAGATGAATACAATATGCTTCTGAACAGAATAAATGCATTGACAAAATCATTTTAAACCCTAAAAATTCTTGAAAAAACAGTGAAACGATCAATAAGCTTTTTCATGAAAAATGGATGTTTGCCCCCCCGCCCCCAAAAAAACAAAAAAATCGATTCAGGCATTAAAACAATATATATTTTTAAAAATAAATCTGCAAGTAGGTAAATCTTTGGTCCAGTGTACAGTGACCAACAGTAGATTAAAAAAAACAAAACAAAAAAAACTCTTGTATGGGATGCAGTTGTTCCTAATGTTATGGGAGCGATGATGAGGTCTCACACAAACACACAAACTCACCATTGCAGACAAAATCCTTCTTCTGTACATCAGGAACGTTCAGGCCCCTCATGTGGGCGGGGGCCATGCACTGAGTGAAGGGCGCCAAGCCGCGCCTCGCTCGCAACCAATCAGAGAGCCAGGACAGGTGACAGTCGCAGTGAAGGTTATTGGAGTGGAGACGCCTGAAAGTGAGGGATGCGAAGCAGCCAAATTAATTTTTACACTTGCATTAAATGTCTCCCCCAAACTTTCTGAGCTACCATGTTGCGCATCCATCTAACAAAGAGGGGGGCTCTTAACTCTTTCATGCGCCCTGTAACCTGACAACATGAAAAACTGTCCACTGTAGTCACCGCTGTCCCTGAAAGGGTTCATCTCAATCCGAGATTAAATAGTCACTTCAAGTAGTCACTTTAAATGTGATCTCTAGAACTACTGCATATTTTAGTTATCCACAGCCTCTACTCTGTCTGCTTGGATTAATTGTCAAAATTTGGTGCTTTTTACAAAAAGGTTTAGTACTTGTCATAGAAAAAAACTGTGAAAATGCTCAAAAACAGCAGGCCATATGAGGAATAACAGTGAATGACTTGATGATTAAACAGTGATCAAACATTTATTTTTTTTTGGGGCATGACAGCTCTGAATGCTAATTAAAATTTGACAATTGGTTCCCTGTAACAAGATTAATTTCTATTAATTCCTATGGTAATATATCATTTCCTGTTAACTGATAGGTACAGCGCCAGAGTGGGTCAAAATATTAGCAACTACTGTAATTGCGATCCAACGCAGTTCTACGACCACCACGAGACTCATCGTGTTGTAAAATGACTGTCAATATCAAGTCTTATTGGGTGAAAAATCAACCATATGCTTGAAATGAGAATCTCCTGTAACTTTGCATCAACAAGACAGAACACAGTGAGAAAAATCAAACCGATTTTTCCAATTAATACTTTGCATCATGTGCAGCTAATGTTCATATGAGACAATCTCGTGTCTGTCATCTTAAGTGGCACTTATGCCACTAAATCCTGTGCAAAATGAGCTCCTGGCGAGCTAATGTTCGGTGGTGGGTGCATTAAGGGATCCCCCCCCCACAAAGCTGAGAGACTCCGCGGGCGGACACCTTAAGAGTCGTGAGGCGGGCGCCGAGGGGGGGTGGGGCAGGGCGGAAAAATGGCAGGATGTCTTGTCAGCATATTACATGCCGGCTGGGATATCTGGCCTTTCACAAGACAGGCCTCCCTTTGTAATAAAGCCGAGGACAAATCCTGTTATGGAACAGAGATGGGCTCATTGATGCTAGCAGCGGGGGTAGTGGGTTTTAATACCGCGTTCCCATTATAAATCCAGTTTATAGTCAAACCCCTGCCTGGAGATAGCTGCGTCTCGGCCCACCCCCGGCTCCAGCCTTAATTACTGACAAGTAGGATTAAAACATGGGGCACAATACTGTGTGTGTGTGTGTGTGTGTGTGTGTGTGTGTGTGTGTGTGTGTTTGTGTGTGTGTGTGTGTGTGTGTGTGTGTGGTGCCCACTGGATTTGAGGACACTTGATTGGCTTAATTGTGCTTAGGTTTTGTGGTGGCGAAGGTCTTAATGTGTGTGCGTGTATGAAAGAGAGAGAGAGAGAGAGAGAGAGAGAGAGAGAGAGAGAGAGAGAGAGAGAGAGAGAGAGATTCAACATTTTTTATTACTTGGCAAGAAGTGTGTTTGTGTGTATGTGTATACGTATTCACATATAGCACGCAGTATTTCTTTTTAATTGTCCTGAAGTGTGTGTGTGTGTGTGTGAGAGAGAGAGAGAAAGAGAGAGAGAGAGAGAGAGAGAGAGAGAGAGAGAGAGAGAGAGAGAGAGAGAGAGAGAGATCCAGTAATTTTGGTTACTTGGCCAAGTGAGCGCGTGCACGCATGTGTGTCCTCGAGCCACAAGGGCACATTTTTATTACCGTTAACTACGAATTTAGCGAGTGTCGTTTATTATTATTAATGCGATGTCAAGTCAAGAGGTGGCTGCAAAAAAGATAAAAATGTGACCTAAAGCCACAATACGTAACAGCTTTGAAAGAGGATCACGTCTTCTGGCAACTTTAGTCTTTGATAACGATTACATATCGGACCACCATTAGCATCAATGCTAACTCCGATGCTTTGGCAGCTTTTTTGTTGCTTGCTAACACTATACAGATTCTTCCAAAAGCACACAGTGCATGTCTTTAATTCTGCGCGCACACACACACACACACACACACACACACACACACACACACACACACACACACACACACACACACACACACACGGAACTACATGACAGCGAAGACGCCATGATTGTAATGACTGGACGAGAAGCCGAAGCCGAGTATTGACATGCAAAGGGTGTTGGCTAAGAAGCCGAAACGGGAGGAAGTCAGTCACTCCGTCACTCGGCTTTGACAGACAACAGAAGCGGCGCGCGAGGCCTTCGGATGAAAAGATATTGGATATTGGTGATTCGCCACTCAATCTGCCGCCAACTTGTTGCCGCGCCGCTGCCCGAAATCCAATTTTGCGCGGTTGATTTGGAGTGCCGTGAACACACACACACACACACACACACACACACACACACACACACACACACACACACACACACACACACACACACACGTAAGATCATTTTGCGATCGGTCGGAGATGGGAGCTGCCATTCAAATTTGAGCCGAAAAATGGTCATAAAGCACAAATGGATTTGGTGAGTCTGTACGGTGTTGCGTGGGTTTTGATACACTGTATGTTAGGCCGGGGTGGGGTAGGGGGGTCTTTCCGCAGGGGAACAAATCAATTTCTAAGCTATACGAAGGCACCACGACAAGCCTAGCATATGGTCAATGAAACTTAAAATTGTTGCCTGTCACAAAATCAATGAAAATACCAATAAACTTGAGAAAATGATGTTTCTTCTTGTTGTCTGTCTAGATTTTCAGTCAACAGGGTCATAGTAGGGTCAAATCGAAGATGGCTTTAGCCTCTTTTTTGTTGAATTTGTTGTGTTTTTTTCTTGTAATCCCCAAAATGTAAAAAAATGACGCTATTAGCCCATGACTTATGATACTGTTCGTACAACAATAAAATTTGATCAACAAATCAATATTACGGTTAGCGCCCATATGACTGTTAGTTTTCTTTTGAATGACATTGAATGACTATGAGTGGAAAAACATGTCATCACCTTATAAAGTGGATAAAAGGCAGCCCGTTTTTGGCCCATTTTAAGAGCGAGTTCTGTTACAAAGCCCAAAATTTCATGGCTGAACTCAAATTAGGGGCTAAAGATGTTTGTATGTACATCATCACGAAGGTTTCCATAATGCACCTTTACGTGTGTGTGTGTATGTGTGTGTGTGTGTGTGTGTGTGTGTGTGTGTGGGTGTGTGTGTGTGTGTGTGCGTGTGCGTGTGCGCGCGCACTCTACTTACAGCGTCCGCAACTTGGGCATGTGGTTGAAGCTGGACAGCGGGATGAGGGTAATGTTGTTGTTGTTGAGAGTGCTGCACACAGAAAAAAAAAGGGAGAGCGAGAGAGGAAAAACAGATTCATTAGCGGAGTTCCAGGAAGCGTGCACAGATGCACATCACAATAAATGTCATTGCAATCTACGCTAACCCCAACGGAGACAAAACATTCAAATAATCCTCGCCGTGCCACTGCTTGTTGCTCCAAGCGGCTCTTTCAACAGTGTTGACTCGCTCATAAAATTTTGACATTTTGACGAGCGGAGATTATGCTTGCATTATATTGTTATGTCTTTCAACGATCACAACATGTTGCCTGGAAGTACTTTGAGGGCTCAAATCAGGCTCGAAAATGCAATGAACAGCCTCAATCAAACGGAACACAAAGTATTAGGGCCACCCGAAAATTAAAATACAGACATTGGAATCTAAATTTACTCCTGAAAAAAATTGGAAAATGCAAAATTTTTCTCATCATATCTCAACTTTCAAATCTATTTTTTTTTCTGAAAAAAGAGATGCAACTACTTTTCAATTTCCTTTATTATCCAGAACTATGAGAATTATCTCAAAAGATACACCATTTATTTTCTGTAAAATTATTACAATGGGAATTTTTAAATTTGAAAATGTACATTTTGAGGATTTTCTTGAAAATATGCTTTTCTTCCTTTCTTGAATCAGCTTGAAGACTGTTTTAGCTATAAAACAAGCTACTTATTTTCTGGAACATTTATAACCTTATTCTCGTAACTGAGATCAGAATCAGATGTTGATGAAAAAAATATTTGTATTGAGATGTAGTGACTTGCATTGGTCGAATTCCATGTGTTTGCCATGGTTTTGTCATATGTTGAAGAAGAGCTGCCTCCATGAGTGAAAATTATTTTATTGTCCTGGCCACTTGTCATTTTTTCCACTCTAGATGTTATTGCATTGTAAAAAATTGGCATGCATGGACTTATTTTCCAGCAATTTTTCTTCCTGTATATGACCACTATTCATTTGATCCTCTTAGTTGGAGTATCCCATTTTCATTTGAGCACTAAAGTGGCTGACTTGAAGCAAAACATAAAGTAGATAAATATATGTGCAATTCTCTGCAAATCATTACGTATATTTCATTCGTTTTTATGTTATTTGTTCTTATATGCTCGTGTAACCCTAGCGTGTCGCTATAGATGCGAAGCTGACTGTCGATACCGTCAAACGCACACTTGCGGCTTCACAAACGCTTCTCATTTTGATGAGTTTTCATGCCTGAATAGAAAGTGAGACAACACGAAAAAGACGAGGAAGTAGTGCAAAGACATAAAGCTGCTCCATCAAAGCAACTCAGTGGGGACCAAAAGGCTTTTTTTTCCCTTCCAAGGCAGTGAAAGCTCATAAGACGGCCTTTTTACAACACAACACTCACGGGATGGCCAAATGCACCCGAAAAACACATCATGTGTACCTGCTCAGGAAAATTATACTGCAGCAACACAAAGTGGACAAAAATACTGGATAATTGGATATCGCAACAACATAAGCAACTGGTGTGTGTGTGTGTGTGAGAGCGAGAGAGAGAGAGAGAGTAATGAATATGATATGTCTTTGTAATAGTGTAATTAAGTTGAAAATTCAATGGTCATAGTGTAACGTGATTCAATTATTTTTGTGGAGCTGAAGCATTACATTTGGCAGATTGAATCTCTGTAACAACATTGTAGTTGCATAACAAATGTGTTATGTGGTCATTAGTATAACATGTTAGTTGATTAATTATTGTGGTTTACAGGCTCATAAGTTAATAAATATGTTATAAGTTAGACGTTGTGTAATAAATATGTGATAACAGTCACTATCTTAAACATGCACTGCTTGTTAATTTCAAAATACAATTTCTTTATCACTCTCTCTCAGTCAATATGTCCGGCTAGCTATCATCAAATAAAAATAGATGCATACTTCACTGTGGCTAAAGCTATTTTAAAGACATTGATGCACTGTTTAAAAAAAAAAAAAAAAGGTATGACATGACAGTTATTGACACAAGGTCAAGGTTAAAAATGATCCAATTGCCACAATCAATGCATTCATTTCAAATGACAGCCAAAAAGGTAGCAGGCAAACACACAAACACCCCACAGTGTGAGCTTGCTATGGTTTGTTTGAAGCTAATGTTGTCACAAGTGGTCCAAATGGACTCATTACGCAGGAGTTTCCGTGTTTACGCTATCACCCACTCATCCCCAAAATACACTGTGCGCTCCACACTGTTGATCTTACAACTTCTCGTTCTCTTTAATTTCCCCGTCCTTCCGACTTGCTTTCCACATTCTCCCGGCTGGCGTAGCCTCTGTGGCCTTGGTGGAGGGATCGAGTTTCACACTCGGTCACTTCCAAATACACACACGTACACACTGGTCGGCCCTGTCAGGGGGTGATTCCAAGCAGTCTATATAATTTAATTGCAGAATAACAATCATTCCCCCTTACTACAATTTCCCTGTCAAGTTTCCTCCCGTTCAGTTTCTCCCGCCAACACGACACTTAAACATCTTTGCCTTAATACAGTTGTGACTGGTCTGAATTAGTCAAAATAAACAGCAAAGATCATGTATATATCAAGTTTCACGTCGGCCGGCGCTTGAAATGCCTCACATTCAGACTGGCTCACGCATTGTTTATGTTGTCGCAAAAAGCATTAAGTGCGAGTTGTACGGGCGGTTGGCGGAAAATACACAAAAGATTTTTTGGTGGGAATGAAATTACTGTTGAATTATTTCTGTTGATTCCGCTGAGGCGGGTTCATATTTGGTGTACATGAGCACATTTTGAAGCACTGGCTTTGTTGAAAAAAAAGAAAACACTTACATTTGAATGTTTGTGTCAGGTTGCAGTTTGTCCGCAAAATTCCAGGGTACGAGCCAGTGTGTTTAGCTCTTGCAAACTCGACACCGATAGGCCCCTTAAAATATCGCATGCATCTTAGATCAGATATCATTAAAACATATTATTAGCCTAACAGCACAATTGCCCGGGTCCTATTTCAACAGTTTCGAGAACCACACAATAAATTCAAACAAGGAAAAGTCCAGCTACAGATTAACATGACCTGGATGACCGAGGATCTACAGAAAAAAAAACGTTTTCCACAAGCACATTCGATTTTGATTTAATTGACAGAAAGTTGACTTGGACATTCCTTGGGATTCCCCTTTGAATCTCTTTGAATTTTTTCATCGACTACAGTAAAAATTGCTAATTAATTACTTGAAAAAAAAATCTGAATGCAAATATTATGGTACATGTTCCTCCTTCCGTTGTACAGCGTTCTCATTGAGGGCGAACAACGGCGCCCCTGCTGTTTGCAGCCAAGCAATGCACCCCATTTGATCTTGCAATTCATCAACTTCACTCACTTCCACACAATGGACCCGTTTTAGCTATGAATTAATGAGAACAGCACACAATGCTGTCATGCATTTGGGAAATAATAAATTCCAGTTTTTATGCTTTGCTTGGGTTGTATCAAAGCTATAATGAGCCTTGGAATCCAGAAATGTACACAGATGCACAGAGCTAAGGCTGGACAAAAGGGGACCATTTCTCTTTTTTTTTACCTCCACAGATTAAAACAACACATTTTTGTCATGTGTGGTTGACTTCTTCTGGGGTGTGCAAAAGGATTAGATCCATTCACCAATATCACAGATACAACACAGTTGATGTGCAAAAATTGAACTGGAGCTCATATTGGAAAATGTTCGTTGTTCATATCAATGGTGACAAATTCTTGTTTTGAAAAGATGCATTTTGCCTCTACAGTAGTGCCTTGAGAGACTAATTTGTTCCGTGACCATGCTCGTAATTAACATCATCTTTCAATTGTGATATTAATGGTGCTGTCAAAACTAGAAAAAAACCCCCAATAAAATGTGTTTTTTTTTTTTTTTAAAGAAAACATAACACTATTATTGCAATCAATTTAAAAAAGAAACGTACAATAATGACAAAATTGAAAACAATGTCAAATAATTTTGGACACTTTTTGTTTTACTTCAGTGAACATTGTGCCACTCCTTCTGGTGCACACATTTTGGCCACCTGGTGGCAGTATAATCCAGACAAGCCTTGCATGTCAAGCTTGCCGTTTCCACACCGAAAGGCACACACTTTGTGACGCACTATTTAAAATGCACTCGGGCAGCAATGGCAAAAGAAAACCTCTGGTCAGTTACTGCAGTCTGTCACACACAGTCTGGCTCATATCCGGAAACAGGCATTCACCAACGCAATCCCGCAGAAATAGTGCACTGCCAGCCCCGTGCGTCAACTCCCCACACCTCCCGCCAAACACTGACATCACCCTTATGTCAGAATACATTTACATCTTTTTGTTTGTTTGTTTGGCTCCCATTCATTAAAAACAAAAGATAGACTTTTTCAAGTTGCAACATTTATCTGTGATGTTTCTTTGTGCGCAATCGACATTTAAATTCATTTAATTTTCAGGCTCCACAAAGTCTGCCAATGAGCATTTGTGTGTGTGTGTGTGTGTGTGTGTGTGTGTGTGTGTAATAAAACGAGTGTGCTTGTATAATAAAGTGAATTTCCTATTAGTACCTATCACGCTCAATAAGGCTCGTCAGACGCAGGTCGATACGCACGGCGAGCGCCTGAATTAGGGGCCAAATACAACAACGCGACTTTATGATCGCACTGATGACCAACATTGACTTTGCGTTCGATACAGTCATTGTCACTTCCGATCTTCAGAATTAGTTCTCATCTGTGAGCAGATGTTCCCGTAGTATAACCATGTAATATGCGCTTTATATAGTTTCTGCAAGAAGTGTTTAAGTGGTTTTGCTGTATATTAGATCAGTCGTGAAATGACTGGCATTGAGTAAGGTAATACCGAAGAGCGCAGCAGAGTGGGATGGAGTGAACAGTTGAATCAGATGTTCTGTATGTTATCATGGAAGAAGGCGTAGTAAACCACACACATGATTAAAAAACAAAAAATAAAACTGTAGTGTATATGTTCA